ACTGTGTGTGAACATAAATTAGGACGTACCAATTGAGGTGGAATACCCTTCACACCCTACACACGTTTTCACCCCCCGCAGCGAAACCTCTCAACGAATTCCCACTTTCGCCGGCCGCTATCGAGGGTTCCGATTGGAACTTTTCGACCACTTCTCCATCGAGTAATTTGTACAATAGACATGGACTAGCCCGAATAAATACCAGCGCCGCCTCCCAACAAAGAAAACACTACGGATAGTGGGGCACAAAGGAGTCCGCCGCAATAATGCGCCATTATGGTGGCCGGAATCTCCTGAATATCAAAGGAAGAATCGCGTATCGGTGCTCAACATCCGTTAAATGTCTTTCGCACTGTTCCGATTCTGTATGCGTGCCGGTTCGATTCCATATCGATGTTTTATTTAGATTGATGTCGCCCTCGCTAACGCTGATTTATCGAGTGTGCAATTTTTAGCCGCCATCATGTTTGTGTTTTATTCAGATGCATGGCGCAGTATTAGTATTTATAATCCGGAGCCGCCATAAATTCAAATTTCCGACGAGTAGTTTTTGCATTCGCCTAGTCCATCTGTTCGGTAAACGAGATACGGTCTCTTAATATTTTCCGCCAAACCGTAGCCTGTCGTCGTCCATTAATGCGCGAGGAAGCCACGTTTGCAGAAATTAAATTATTCGTGCCCGTTTCCGTCTCCTCCGTGCATGCTTTCTTTATACACTCCGCAATATACATTTTTATAAGCTCCCTCGGATCGAACTCATGCCTCAGGTGTCCGCATTCGTAAATATCGCGCCGATAAATATTGTTTCGCTCTGTACTAACAGAGCGTATTAAACTCGGAGCGGAGGATGTGTGCATAACGAATGCGAAATTATTAACGAATTTTCGAGCCGCTGTCACGTTTTCGTTCGGCCCACGCGCGCCGAATGCTGGAAGTCAAACGCAATTTTCTTTTCAAAGTAATTGGTTCGGTAGTTCGGCGATTATTATCTGTCAAAAAAGCGCGAAATTGAATTTTTTTTGTCGCCGCCTTAATCAGGCACCCCTTCGATTAATCAGCAGCAATTATCTTCCCGCAATAATTAATTATCGCATGATTGGAGCGAGATTCGATCCGACCGAGCTGATTTGTCCGTCGCAAATTAACATCCCGTGAAACATCGTTTACGGAGGGCACAAAACGCAACGCAGTTTCACTTATTGACACTTGTTGAGCTCGGAATGGTTGCTGAATTATCTCACCTTGGACTTGGTTGGGAGGGAAAAAGTCAAGTAGGGGCGGTGGCGTTTCTATTTTGTAGTTTCACTGTACAGATAATCCAGGAATATAATGTATTCGACCGATTTCAATTGGTTGCACGGACGCTAAATTAATATGGATTTGGTGGGATTTTCAAGTTGGAACTACTCCAGTTCCTCATTTTTACTTCCCGAGCGCTAGCTAAGGAAGTATTGTGATCGAGTCCATTGGAGGACTGGCTACTTTCATGTTTACTCGACGTTTCATGACCCATAGAGTACGAAGAAATAAGTTTTGTTTCCGTCTGTCTGTCAAAATTGTATAACAACATTTTTTACAAACGTAAGCGGAAGTCGCACGAGAATATTCGATAGAACAACAATTTGCGATTTCTCAATTTACTCTATATTTCAGTTTTGGGATTTTCAGTTTTTTGATTCTTCAATTTTTCGATTACTCAGTTTTTAAATATTTTAGTTCTGGAATTATTCAATTCTTCAATTTCTCGATTTCTCATTTTTTTTTATTTTTCGATTACTCGATTTTCCGATGCCCCAGTTTTACGATTTTTGTTTATTCTTAAATTTGTTGATTTTTAAATTCTAGATTTTTGGATGAATCGATTTTTCGATTAATCGATTTTTCAGTTTTTCAATTCTTCAGTTTTTGCGATTTTTAATTTTTTTGATTTTTTAAATTTTGGGTTTTTCGATTTTCGATTTTTCGATTTCCCAATTTTTGGATATGTCAGTTTGTAGTGATTTTCAAATTTTTCGATTTACCAATTTATTAAATTTTCGATATTTCAGTTTTAGGATTTTTCAATATTTCCATTTTTCAATTTTTCGATTTTTTGATGTTTCAATTTTTCAAATTTTCAATTATTCCATTAATTTTTGGATTTTTCGACATTACAGTTTTGGGATTTTTCAATTTATATTTTTCGATTTTTCAGTTTCCAATTTTTAAATTTTACATTTTTCGATTTTTCAGTTTTTCAATGTTTCATTTTTGGGATTTTTCAGTTTTTTTTTATTCTCGTAATTTTCGATTTTCAATTTTTCGATTGCTCAGTTTTTCAATATTTTAGTTTTCGATGTCTCACTTTTTTGTTTTTCAGTTTCTCGATTTACCGATATTTCAATTTTACGATTTTTTTATTCCTCAAATTTTCGATTTTAAAATTTTTCCACTTTTCAAATTTTCAGTTTTTGGCGTTTCTCGATTTTTCCGTTTTTCAATTTTTAGAATTTTTTTATTTTACATTTTTCAATTTTTTGATGTCGATTTCTTGATCTTTCGATTTTTCAGGCTCTCGGTTTTTCAAATTTGGCTTTTTGGAATTCGTAATTTTTGAATTTTTCAATTTCTCAATTTATCGAGAGTTCGATGTTTCGATTTTTCTGTTTTTAATTTCTCGATTTTTTAATTTTTTGTTTAGACTATTTTGATCTCTTGATCTTTTCATATTTCGATTTTTCTGTTTCAATTTCTCGTTTTTTGAATTTCTCAGTTTTTCCATTTTTCAATTTTTCCATTTCTTCATTTTCACACTTTTCGATTTATAAAATTTTCGATATTTCACTTTTGGGATTTTTTCAATATATTTTTTAGTTTTTCAATTTTTCGATTTCTTAGTAGTCACATTTTTCAATATTTTAGCTTTAGGATTTCTCAATTCCGTAATTTCTAGATTTTTCAAATTTTTTTGTCTTTTTTTTTGTTTTTCAATTTTCCGATAATTCAGTTTTACAATTTTTTTATTCCTCAATTTTGCGATTTTAAAATTTTTCCATTTTTCAGATTTTTAGTTTTTGGCTTTTCTAAGTTTTCTCCATTTTTCAGTTCGTCGATTTTGTTTTTCAGTTGTTAGAAATCGTGAATTTTCCATTTTTCTTTTTTTTAATGTTCAACTTCGCGATTTTTCAATTTGTGGAGAGTTCGACGTTTTGATTTTTCGATTCTTTATTTCTCGATTTTTCAATTTTTTAGTTTTTCAAATTTTAATTTTTCGTTTTAGTTTATTTCAACTTCTTGATTTTTCCATATTTCAATTTTTCTGTTTCAGTTTTTTAATTTTTCAACATTTCACTTTTGATATTTTTTCATTTGTCGATTTTCCGATGTTTCAATTTTTGACTTTTTGCATTTGAATTTTTCGGTTTTTCGATATTTCAATTTTTGAAATGTCTCGATGTCCGTTTCCCTGTTTTTCTATTTTTGAATTTTACGATTTTTTAAAAGCATTTTTTCCCGTTGGCTTTTAAATATACTGTTACGTTCATCGGTGATTTAAAATCGGCGTGGGTAAAACTCAACAATTTATTTCACAGTAATACAAAACTACACCACTAATTAAACAACGATTATGTACACAATAATTCCGACTAGAATGAATTTGACTAGACTAAACTCCCGTCATTACTGGACCCGTTGACTGAGACTGCCTCGTTCCCGAAGGTCACCTCTATTTAAACTCATACATTCCTCTGGATGGTTCGCGAACGCCGCTTCGAGGTTTTTCTGAACCCCGAAATCAAAACTTCCGGCAACCCACTCCAGGCGTTTCTTTAGCGAACCGTCACTGATGATGAGTCATCCATCATCGCCGTAGATACTAGAAACGTCTCGAAAAAACCCATAGGCGTCGTATCGAGGCAGCGTATGGGTTTATTTCGTAACAATACGTATTTCATATTGTCCGCACTTGTACGGACTGCGTTTTGTTAGAAAAAAGAAAAAAAAAACAATTTTTTAATGAATTTAGCCACTGTATGACCTTTCGGGGGCACTTTGTCGTAGAATCTAAGCAATGTTGTCTTCGATGATACTCAGTTCGTCCTGAACATTGAAAATAATTAGTATGATTTGATGTGAGAGTGCTTTCCCGTATTATCTGCTAGCTTTTCTTTCTTGAAGACGAATTTTCCGCAGATTTTCAGGCTTTTAAACGCTGAAATTTTATTGCCGACGCCTGAAATGTAAGACTGAGTTGTTACATAATTTGGGTCGTAAAGTGTCAGCTTGTTGGGATTTTCTGCTATATTAAAAACATGACTGTACTGTATTCATAATAACGAACCAAGGACGAGAATATTCGTAACCTTTCTGGTTGTATGAAGAGAAAATTGTACAAGTATATTTGAAATATTAATGGTTGTACTGCATTTCTGCCAATATACGTATTATTTTTTGTGAAAATTGATAATCTTCTCCCTGCGATGGTGCACCATTTTGTTAGAGATGTATTGTTGTTCTTTCAATCATTTGACTTCATTGTACGTCAGTAATGGCGTTTTTTTATTTGTTGGTATTTCTCAACAAAGAGCTCGACTGTTACGACATAAAGTAAGAATTATACAGCACAGAGGGCAATTTTCTCCATTCGTCGAAACAAAATGTTGCTATGTTATATATATTAAAAACGGAATAAATATCTCATTATTACGACGTTCCTCCACAGATTGCTTCGTTTTTATAATATAAGTATGTTCAACTCAAGTTATTTACTCCGTTGTTGTTTCATTAAAACGAATGAAACGACTTGATTATTTATTAAATGTTGTTGCCCCGCTGGATTTTGCGGCTGTTTTCTTCAAGAAAATAACTTTTCTTGCTTGTTTTCGCCGAAGGGAACCAACCCACGTTTTCTTTATTCACATAACTAATAATATAGAAGTGAATTGCGCACTTGCGTACCCAGCTATGAATTTAATACGTGGAAAACCCTTCATTAACACCTTTTCTAATTCTTGTTCCAGGTAAGATAAAATATTCAGAACGAGTCTACGATGCATGCATGGAGGCGTTCGACTGTCTGCCCCTCGCGGCGCTGATGAACCAACAGTTCCTCTGCGTCCACGGCGGATTATCACCAGAAATACATAATTTAGACGACATTCGAAAGGTAAGATCCAACTTCGACACGTTCGCACCTATCTCACCCGAAATTCCATTATGGAAATCCAGATAACGCCTCGCCGAAATTGAGGAAATCGCAACCTCGCTCGAATTAATATCGCATCGGCTTTATGAAGGGTCACGGCTCATTTATTATTGCTCATGCTGAGCCGGATTAGGCGTGTCAGAGCCGGTCTCGGCGCCGAAATGAAAAAAATCGACGTTTCCGACGAGAATTATTCGTCAAATTGCTCTTGTTCGCGTAATTGGCCGCACTAGATGAAGTTGGTACGAGAAAAATTTGACCGATCTCCTCGGCCGACGCCTCGGCCGTTTTTGCGGGCGTCCCATTCCGACGTATTTAGCTCGAAAGTCCCGGTAACAAATGCGAACCTATTAGCGTAATCATGTTTTATGAGAATCCCTTCTCATCCATTAGAAAATCCATGAAGCGAACGTTTCGTAAGTTCCTCGCTGGAGCGAAAACACGTAAGGGAAAGAGGAAATGTTCGATAATTCACTTCATGCCTCAAAACATGGCCAATAGTTCAAGTTGAAGGAGAAGAAGAGAGCCGACTCTAAAGTAAATAATTTGACTTTTCGAAGAAGGATAAATTGCGCGTATCGTACGGGATTTCCGACGTATCGCGTTCCAGAGCATGTATAACCCGGCGCATCCGCCAAATTTGCTTTATTGGATGCGTCAACACCGGGGATTTATTTGTTTGGATGGGAATTAAAAGGGGCCGGAAAAGGAGAAGGCAATGTGCTAGCATCGTTTAGGGATCTTGTTTATGCTCGAGGTTTTTTTCCTTGTAGTGGTACACTTGTAAATGTAGTACTAAATTCATTTTGGTTTATGGCTGCACTAGCTATCAGTTGAAATTAATAGGAAAAATTACCGATTAGACTTTCCGAATTTTTTGCAGAAAACTAGGACCAAATCTTTGAGATTCCGCAGTCTCTAATATTGGCTTCACTAATAATTGTAGTGAACTCTGTATGCTCAGGGGAAGAACATCCACGTCTTTCTAACTTCGTGATTACATCCACTAATGGTTGTTTAAGACTTCGAAAACGCTCCTAGACGTTTTCAATATTCCATAGTGAACACAAGTATTTTCTTCATGTGTTGCGTAATTCAAGTCTTGAAAAAGTAAAGTTGCTTGAGCACATTTTCGCCGAAAATAAAACTTTTCCGCTTGGCTCGTGTTTCCCGTCGAACTTCCTGCTGCTCGGACGTAAATTGATCAAATTGGAAGTTGCAGCGTATTAGCTTAACTAGAATCAAAGTTGGAAGTTTTTGATTCGCCGTCCCAACTGTACCCCAAAATGAATATTTAATACGGTCATGAATGACGTGACACGCAATTCCAACTTGTTAGATTTGTACGAGACGATCAATAGTCGCCCAGAATGTAACCAATTATTGCCCCGTGGGATTTCGGGCACTTTTTGCGAAAAGCGGCAAACGAGAGACGAGAGAATACGAAAAAGCATTCTGTTTTGAGAGAGTGTTTTTTTTTTCTCTATGTACTAATTTACATTTAATATACGAATACATTACTTCTTTGCTTTCATATTCAGGCGTGCTGCTTTTATTACCGGTAGGAAACTGATTTAAAATTCAATTTGCAACCAGAACGGCGCTCTTTACTATCAATAACTTCTTTTGTGCCGTGCACAGTGCACAAAACTGCCTGCATGTAAACTCCTAATTATTTCTGCTGGCGGGAGATTAAAAGAAAAAAGAAATCTTTTATCGTTTTTTTAAATATTTACGTGCTGCCGTGAGTCACATTTTTTTAACTCTTCTACATTTGCAATTAATTATCTCTGAAACAAGGCGACGTGGTTATATATTCTGACGTGATGGTCTAATTTTCAAAAATTAGTTCTGTTGCATCTCGTGGAACACTTTAATGAGTTCATGCATAAAACATCAAACTATCTTCCACATTACGCCGCTAGCCCATTAGCCATTCCATGAAATTTATATGACCAAAAGTTTGCGACAGAGCATCGCTTTTTGCCACCACCGAACCACAAAACGCACACTTGCGATCATTATTACAGTACAAGCTTCCAAAAATTAGTTTAATTGAGAGTTTTACACATCGTTTTCTCTTCGGCCACACCTTCCAAAAAATGTAGACTTCAAAGTTAATTAATAATTAAAATTATGATGTGAAGCTTCTTACATTTTTGTATGAATTCCAAAATTGTTTTTGGAAATAATTTTGAAAAAATTGAGAAAATCTAGTGTTTTCTTTTTGGTAGAACCCTTGTGTTTTATTTTAAAAAATCAAAATCCTTTTCGTTTGTGAAAAAAATTGAAATAACCTTGGAAACCCGTAGTATTTTGAATTTGAAAGAGTTTGAAGGAATCTTGGTGTTTCTATTTTCAAAAAAAAATTTTAAACATCCTCGAGGACCATTGTATTTTGTTTTTGAAAGAATCTTGGGAAGCCGTTGTTGTACCTCGGTCCTCTAGTAATTTAGTGTTTAGAAGAATTTGAAAGAGTGTCGAGAATCTCTGGTGTTTTATTCAAAAAAACAACTGAAAAATTCTCGAGAGGTCAATAGTATTATTTTTGGAAGATGACCAGTGTTCTATTTTTGAAAGAGTGGATGGGGATATTTTATTTATTAATAATAATTATTTAAACTCAAACAAAGCAATTATCTCCGAAACTAGGTGATGCGACTAAATATTCTTGTGTGGACGTAATTTTGTAATTTTAAAAAATTAGTTTTGTTGCAGCTCGTTAAACACTTTAATAACTTGATGCATAAATCATCAAACTGTCTTCACACATTGCACTGCTAACGAAGAACCTGCTTTATTACGTATTCCATGAAATTTATATGTCCAAAGTTTGCCACACAGTATTAGTATTTATAGTACACGCACCCAAAAATTATTGTATGAGGAGTTTAAAAGCCTTTTGGAATTGTCGTACTAAAAATTGCCTATCGCAGAAGTTAAAAAGCAATCAATAGCAAATTTCCTCGTATTTACGAACAATCTTCGCAGCGCCAAGCGTTTGATTGTCCTTAATCACGAGGTAATGAAAAACTCACAGAAATCTCCCGTCTCATTTATATTCAATCAGCGTCGTCATTTTCGGCTAATATTCTCAAAAAGTATACAATGTTGATACAGAGTGAACAGATACGAAAACAGAATTACCAACCTTTCCAATATTCAATATTTATCCGTAGCTAATTACGAGTATGGGTTTTTTAGCTCGGCGGCCGCGTTATGCTCTCTTCAAGTTCGAACATTAATATTTAACGTGAGTCTCCAAGGATCCTGTTTAGGAGTAGAAGGAACTCTGTCGTTCCTGATGGAGTTGAATTATTCATATGGTCCGTATCTGCACCCTCTCGCCCATTTTAAATATTCCAAGACACTAGCGTAAATTATTAACACCGTTTTGATGCTCCGTCTGACGACACCCTATTAGCTAATGAGATTTTCGGAGGTTCGGAACGGGCACTTCATTATTTAAAAAAGTTGCGTACGGAGCTGGATATTGCGCTTAAACGAATTAAAAAGTCCGCGGCGAGGGTGTTCGTGTTTTAGGAAATTAGCATAGATTAGAGGCAGCCGAAATGGAATAAGTGTAGCTGGTTGTTTAACGAAGAGAGTAAATAGAGAAACGAAGTTTCGGGCTCGGGAAGGAGCTCGGTGTTTATACAAAGGAGCGCTAGTTTTATTGTTTTTGTTTTTGCGTCGTCGCTTTTCATTTTTGTTTGGGCGGCGTCGCCAATTCGGAAAACGATAAAAGAAAGAAACGGTTTCTCAAAGGGATTTTCGTTTTCGAGCTTGGGGACGATGAGGCATTGTGAAAGTCGGGTCAAAGGAGTGCGGCTCGAAAATAGGCGTATCCTTGAGATTTTAAAAGGAATAGAGGGTTTGTTACGAGAAAAATACGGAAGAACTTGGTGTTTTAATTTTTGAAATAATTGAAAAGAATTTTGTGTTTTGGTATTTAAAAAAATGTCGAACTCCACCATTCATCCCCATTGTGAAACAAGTTGCGCTAAACACCCAAAACGAAAAACCTCTTTTAATTAAGTTGTACTTCGTGACAGTCCTCTCAAAGTTTTCGATATTAAAAAATCAGCATTCCGAGCCACTCCGACAAACAATTAGAGCTAAATCCGAATCCCCCCAGATTGCTTCCACTTTCGTCTGCGCTGATGAGTTAACAAAAAATCCATTGTTCTCCCGAATACAAGATTGGCCTACAGAGAGAGAAACTATTTCCATGAAATTCCCAGCACAGCCCGTCAGAATCCCTAATTACGGTCGGGCTAAAGGACTAGTTTGACCAAAGGTTAATTGACAAGGCGAAAGCCCGTAATTAGAGACCGGCACGCTTTGTACCTGGAATAAAAAAGCGCATTTTTATCGACTACACTGCACACTAATCTAATTAAACCCGCCATATGCACCAGTCAATAAAGAGAATATTATCATAATCGCACCGACTGTGCATTATTTGTTTTCTTTATGTATTTCGAGAAAGTGCGATCGCTGCCATATTTAGCCGCGCGACGAGGAAAGTTACCTCGAGAAATTGCATTCCTTATAAGCGGATTCGTAGGCTTAATTCATATCGGACGCTATAATTTAAGAAGCAATTTTCGAAACAGCGTGCTGCAGACAAAACGAGAAAAGTTTCTCTTCCGGAGTCGTTTCTAATCGAAGTATCCTAATAAAGTTGGTTTTGTAGAAATTTCTTTTGCACACACGCTGACAGTAATGCAAATTTGGCGTTCTGGACGAGTCGAATGGATAAACCGTGCCGGTTTAATATGCGTAAAGACTGAATGTTTTGTTCTTGCAGGCTCGGATTTCGCCGGGATTTAACGGTTACCGAGGTTTTATGTGCTTAATTAAGCTTGCAAACCGCACTGCATCAAATTGTCCGTTTCTGGGGCCGGAGCGATTCGGAAATTTAATTAATGCAATTTAGAGGACCGACTGTTCGGATTCTTGTTCGACTTCAAACGGATGGGTTTTTCTTTTTTAGATTTTGTTATTAGAAGAAAGCAGGCGAGGATGCGGCGTAATGTAAAAATAACAGGTTTGATTTGAGCGGTTTTGAAGTCACGGACTGCTCGAGGTGGCAATTACTGTTGTGATATCACAGAGGTCAATTCGTGGCAACACTTTTTTCGGCGTTTTTATTAACGACTTTCTAAAATTATTTTTTTCTACCGCCCACGTTTTTTGGTTTTCTAATAGAGCTATTAACGCACGCAAATGACGTCACAGCAGTTCGTTCATAGCGGAAAGGCGTTCTTTAATAGATCTGGTGTAATTTAGATCGGTAAGATTGGTAGCCATGACGAGATGTGTCAGGTGAATGTCAGTGGCAAATCTAAACTTAAAATTTCCCACTTTTCCGGACGCGTAACTTCTTCGCAAGACATTTAAACCAATTTTAAATTACAAAAACTCGAATTGATTAGAATTACATTTGTTGTTGTGAAAATTCGAACCTCAAATATTTCGTGGTTAGTGTCAGACCAACCCATCACCAACCACGACAAAAGTCCCCAGATTAAAAAAAATGCAAATTTCAATTAAATTTTGGGAAAAAACGTGTGCGGTAGAAAAAATAGTATAAATAACTCGTTCATAAGGCCATTGAAGCACTCATCCTTTATATAACTCGCGGCTTCGCCGCTCGTTCTATAAACTTAGATTCGTGCCTCAATATTTCGTCGTTGATTCTTCAATACCTGCTATGTGCAAAATTGAAAATTGTTCAGGAAACACAATAAACTGCTTACAAAAAAAAAGGGAGTCCGTGTTCGTTTGGTTTAGTCACTTAACAAAATAATAATTTGCTTAAGATACATTTAGTTTACAGAAAATAACGTTTTTAGTGCAATTGTTTATTAAAACTTATTTAATGTTGCTAATTTTCACATAGCAGATTTTTCATAGCTCAGCTTTTGTATTTACATGTCATTTATTTCACAATACATGTAAATTAAACTCTATTAATATAATTAACAACTTTTATTGGAAAGTTATTTTATTTAAACCAAAAATACAAAAACATTAAAATAAAATAATAATAATAATACTAATAAAAATCGTTGACTTATAATTTTTCGCAGATTACGTATATAAAATATTTTTGTCAATTTGTCTTCAAATAACTGAGAACTGCGGGGAAAATATTTCAAAAATCCCCAAAATTTCCAAAAAATTTGAAATTGTTCCAAATGGCTTTATTTGAGAGGGAAACATTGAGTTTCTAGTTTTATAGAGTATTAATCGCAAATTTAACTTATGCAATCCTAGCCCCGCCGACTCACCCTCTATTTTCTTAAAGAGTATATCATTTCCCAAAAATTGTCTTATTTTCGCAAGTACTAGTCCCTCCCACTTTCTCTCCATTTTCTTAGGGGGTATGTTATTTGCTAAAATCAGTTTCTTTCTTAGCAAATACTAGCCCCGTCCACCCGCCCTCTCTTTCCTTGTAGGATATGTCATTTGCCAAAATCAGTCTTACCTAAGCAAGTACTAGGCCCGCCCACCCGCCCTGTATTTTTTCTAGGAGGTATATCATTTGCCAAAATCAGTCTTATCTTAGCAACTACTATATTATATATTGAAATGGCAAAATAAAATATTAAACAATAATTAAATAGTACTTGTAAGATAAGATTAATTTTGACAAAACACATACCTTCCAAGAAAGTAGAGGGCGGGTGGGCGGAGCTAGTACTTGCTAAGATAAGACTGATTTTGGCTAATGAGACACCCTCTAAGAAGAGAGAGGGTGTGTGGGCGGGGCTAGTATTTAATAAGATAAAACAGATTTTCCCACTTTTAACATTTTCGACTATTTTTCAACTATTTCCGAACATCAGCGAGAAAAGTGAGAAAAATTTTTCTTAATTTCCAAAAATTTTTTGTCTGAAACAGTTAAAAGACGATCTGACCCAACGGAAAATAGTTGGCTTATAGATAATTTTTCGCAGATTACGAATCTAAAATATTTTTGCCGATTTGTCGTCAAATAACTGAGAAATGCGGGGAAATGACTCCAAAAATCCCCAAAATTTCCAAAAAAATTGAAATTGTTCTAAATGGCTTTATTTGAGAGGGAAGCATTGAGTTTCTAGTTTTATAGATTAATAATCGCAAATTTAACTTATGCAATCCTAGCCCCGCCCACTCACCCTCTATTTTCTTAAAAAGTCTATCATTTCCCAAAAATTGTCTTATTTTAGCAAGTACTAGTCTCTCCCACTTTCTCTCTATTTTCTTAGGGGGTATGTTATTTGCTAAATTCAGTTTTTTTCTTAGCAAATACTAGCAAATGCTGTGTGTATTATATGCACATAGCAGATATTTCGAGCGGTTGTTTGACTACCAACACATGACAGGTTTTTTCTTTTCTAATTTAAAAATAACCGCTAATTTTTAATACTGTTATTACCATTCGACGCGCTATATTTCTTACAATCAAATCATGAGCAAACCTAAAAATGGACAAAAAGTGCACATAGCAGGTATTGCAGAATCAACGACGATTTGCCTTATGAAGCTCGTTCTTTAATATACTATTTTGTGTGTTTTGATAGCTCGATTATCGATAATAATGTAGCGTTTTGTTCACAGTTAGACAGATTTAAAGAACCACCCGCTTTCGGACCCATGTGTGACCTTCTTTGGTCGGATCCCTTAGAAGACTTTGGTAATGAAAACAACGCAGAACATTTCTCTCATAATTCCGTGAGGGGTTGCTCATATTTCTACAGGTTCGTATTACTGTGAGTGTTAAATTGCATGCCCGGCCTTACACCGAAGTTTCGACTTTTACGTTATTATATCCCTCACAATTTAATTTGTTGTCAGTTAAACTAAGTCTAGAGGTAGATCATAAACGTCAAGACCGCTTCCAACTTTTCGCACAAGTTTATTCAGTTTCATTCAGAATGTACAAAGGCCGTGGCTCGAATTGTGTTTACTTTCATAGAAATTTAACCCGAGCGTGATGGTTTCAATGAATTGTTGCCGTTGCGAAAATTGTCCGTTGAATTGAATTATTCCGAGTTCGATACAGTGTGAATTTGTGATGTGGCTTTTCTGTTTCAGCTACGCTGCCTGTTGCGACTTCCTTCAAAATAATAACCTTCTATCAATAATTAGAGCACACGAAGCACAAGATGCGGGGTGAGTATTCTTTATGATCGATTTTCGTGCGCCACACGTAAGTTTTCATAACAATTTTTCGAGCGCTCGCTCCTTCAAGAATACCCAGGTAAACCGGTAATTAACGATAATTATGGAGTTACAAGAAGCTTTTCTCTCTACTCACACTTCTCTAATCTTTTTAAAAGTAAAGAAATTTTCATTAATTAAAGCTTCGGGGCCGGATTATAATGAAAAGTCAATACAGTATCAAGATCGCGTACATGTACACAATATGCTATTAATAACGAAGATGACAGCAATAATATTTCATAAAGTTTATGATGCGGCCGGGACGGGGAAAATGTGTCGGATTATTCAATTTGGGAGCATGAATCGATTTTCGTTTTAAACAGCTTTCCATTGAAATATTTCTAAAGGAGGTATTATGGGGGAATTTTTTAGATGTTTTGCGAGCGGACCCAGGTTTTTGCGATTTTCCACAGAACCGGTGGAAATTAACGTCGCATTTTAGAATCGAATATTTGGTAAATAGTCAACGGGCCGTGATGAATTTATAAAAAACTATGTTTGATATTGTTGCGCGATGACAAGGGCATAAACCCTACGAACTCTGCGTGCAGCTGCCACGACATTGGGTATTAGAACGATTTAGGCAAGAAAATCGAAAACCCTTAATCTTTCTTTAAAAAAATGCATTATTGTGTCTGCATTATGTATTGTATGCCTTGTTTTTTGTTTGTTTTGCGAGCGGCCTCAAGTTTTAATTTATGTAATGTATGCATCATATTTCTGCCATTCTGCACTTTTGCGGGATATTGAATACATTGTATTTTATGAATAGTCAACGGGGCGTAGTGACTTTAATTGAAATCTATGAATTATTTATTGGGAGAGTTGGTATTTTGTATCGCTGCACACATTTGTTCGCTGCGTGACGTAAATCGGGAAGAAAAAAAAAACGCAAAAACATATTATTTTGAGCGGTTCTTACTGAGCAAAATTGACCTAATCATCTATTGTTAGGTTTGGACAAAATTCATAATAATGCGTCTAGTTCCTTTTTCGTCGAAAGCTTCTTCGGCTAAGTGGACCGTAATGGCGGCGTGGTGCATTAATTATAAACGCTCTAAGTGTTGTTGTCATGATACAGCCGAACACTTTATGAGATGGTTAAAAGCGGGCTTTTTACGCAGATATTCTGTTGCTGTGAGCTGACCTGTGTAATGTTATGCAGCGAAGTGAAGAGCCCGGAGGGTTTGGCTGCAGTTCGGGTACTTGCTGTATATTTGCTGAGAACTAGAGCGGAGCAAATACGGAGCAGCTTCAAATGAAAGATAACCGGAAATTTTTCCTGAGGGTTCGTCCAGTCTCGAGGTGATTTGGAATTTTTACGTGGTGTTTATGCAACGCCGTCTGGGTAATCGACTGCATTCTGAATGCAGAGATTAAAGTTAATCTTGCACAAAATCGCAGCAGTGCATGCAATGTGTACCCACCCTTTAAGCCCTATATAATTAGCATATTATCGCGCCAATTTTTAAACCCGCCTCTATTATGTACACGTGGCTTATGCATATTTTATGAACGGTCTTATCGGAATTACAGAAAGCTGGACAAGGTTTACGGGGAATCGTGAAAACGGGGAAAAATAATGATTTATTATCTCTCGAATTTGTCATTTCGGTCGAGTTTGCTTTCGACGTTGGACTGCTGGAACTATTTTTAGGACAATGTAAACAAGTTTCATGTGCATAAATGATAAGGCAAACGACAGTTCGTACTAATTGTTAATTCGGTGAGCTTCCGCTAAAGTGAATGCAGGTGCGTGTTGTCATGTTTACATTTGTTTGCAGACTAAAATGCAACGGTAAATATTTAGAGCCAACAGTTATAGTTGAAGTGCCGAACAATTTAATCAAAGCATGAATATTCTCACGATCTTGTGATACCATTGTTTAATTAAGTTAATTTCAAACAAAACAGTGTTAACTTGCAGTAAGTTTCGTATTTTACAAAAAAAAAAAAAAACTTAAAAACTGGATCGGAAGAATGACAATGGCATTAATCCGTTGGATCATGCATGCAACTAACACGACATTGGGTATCAGAACTAATCTAAAACACCCACTTTACATATAATCAAGTACTTAATTTTTCTTTAAAAAAATGTATTATTGTGTTGTCTGATCAAGCAAACTTGTAATCAAGCGATCCTTGACCGTAAAATAGCGTGTCTGCATCAAATTCATGTCGTTAAAATAATTTAGATTGTGTTTGACTTATTAATGTTTAAAAACAGCAAACGACCTCTTGTGTTCCCAGAGCGTTATCAACTTCTAGTAGATCATCTTTTTGATTTTTTTTCTCACTTGTTCGTCCACCGTTTTTGTGTATCGCACCTCCTGTAATGATCAACATTGAACATCGCGCACGTAATTTCTAATTTCAATTCCATCACCGGCTGGCCGTCGCCGCTGCCCCCGTCCAATAAATCGGGAAGGCCGCCCGTGCATCACTCGGAGGCGGCGATCGACTCGGATAGCCGCCAACTAGGGCCTCCCCGGGGTCAGCTGGGAGCGGATCCGTACGTGCCGACCCTCCCTTTGCCGAATTCGCCGCCAACATGAACTTAGCGCAAACTTGCCCCAAACTTACTCCCAGTTAAGAGAACTTGCCACGCTGGGACATGTTCCGGCCATCACGGCACGTTATTTTTAGATCTGGGATTTTTACCCCCTGTAATCCCGGCTTTTATTTGGCCGAAACGGACGGAATTGGATATCGAGCACTATAAAAAGATGCCGCAAAATACAATACCGCACGAGATGATTTAAATGTAAGGGAAATGTAAATACGTATCTGGGTGGAACGGGTCGGCGTTAACAAAAGCTCGTGAAAGTCGGTGGAAAGGGGGATGGTTTTAATTTTTCTTTACGTTGTTTATCATTTTGGTGTTTCGCGGATGGGAAGTTAATGAAAGGCGAGGAAAAGTTGGGTTTTGTTTAAAAGTTGGTTGTGTTCGAGAGATTTTTTATGTCAGAAGGGCCCAGGAGAAAGTGGGCGGCGGCCCGGAACCTTCACGGTAAACTGAAAATGAAGCGGTTGGGGAAAGTCTATAACCGTATATTGCCCGTTAAAGGATACGACGGGGTTAGGGAGGACAATTATTACTAGAGCAAAAACTTAAGGGCGGATACTTTTTCCGCCTTATTGAAAAAGTCGCCGTTAAGTTGATTTATTTGTTCTATTCGCCGCTAGGTGGCGCCACTACTTCACAAATACTTGAAATTATGTCACGAGTGGCTCCCTTTTGTATTCGCAGGGTGTTTTTAAAGGTCAGCACGTGCGCAAATAAATTTATTGATAATCGCGTTATCAAAAATTTACACTGCTGTTGTTCGCCACGGTGACATTTAATATGAATAGGCCCTACTAAATCAAATTATTGTTAGCCCCAACAACTGTATAAAGTAATAGCTATAAATCTGAAATTTAAATTCATACAGCTTCGGGTATCAGAATCTACGTCACATTTAGTTTCACACAACATTAAGCACACCTTCCAATTTCGTATGTGGAATATGTATTTTAAACTTAATTTAGCGGGGATGTAAAGCGAAAACGAGCTTTAGCAGACCGAGCGGCTCGCGTACGTGTAAGCGACATCTGTATTTGCAGCGGCGAAATCTCGTTATAAAATCAAATATTGTGAAGTTTTAGTCGAAGTCGAATTAAGACGATATCTCGCGGTAGTCTGATTTGACAGACGCTGCAGTTGGATTATTCCACTCATTACGATTAGTTCAGAACTTTGCGAAGTTATTTCCGAGATAAAAAAATAATTAGTTAAAGACAGTTTCAGTCTGGTAGCCCACAGCGGCGACAGAGCAATTATGATGAATGGCTTAGAGCTTGACACGTATCTATGCCCAACTAATATTGCATTGTTTACCTAGTTAACCCCGTTATAAATTAATTATAGTGTCGACACAAGGATAATTAACAACGGGTTATCAAATCGTGGTTAGTTCCGATAATAGTGACAAAACAACCCTAAAAACTCTCGGTGTAGCCACTATTCTAGGTATTTTTACTTCTTGAGCGGGTTACTAGAATAGGGGTCTTTTAACGAATGACTTGGTTTCACAGCCCGGATAATACGAAAATGTCGGTCTCCCGTTCTCTATCTAACTTTGACAAACTTTTAATAGTTCCATTTATTGATGGAGAATCAGTTTGTCACGTTGATAGCTTGCGGCGAAATTTCTTGCTTTATAAAAGAGATATAGTTCCATTTAACATTAAAAAATGAACCGAAGGAGTGACAAAAGAATTAACAGTGTGGATTTGGCTTGTAGATCGCACGATATTGCGTATCTTTTCAAATGATATAGCAAAAATTTGATGAATTTTTATTTTAAAATAATGAAAATCAGAACCGCTTCCTAATTGCTACCAGTTTAGTTGTATTTTCCGCCCTTCTTGTTAGCAGCCCGGGCACGTTTTCGCTTCTGTTATTAGAAAGGACATCCTTATAGGTTACGAGGGTAATCGTGATGCAGGATGTTTCCTGCTGAAGTCGATGAAACATGGCCGGGATACCAAACAGACAACGAAATCAGCGAAAGTCGTTAAATTACGTTGTTTATAACCATTTTGCTGGTACAATTAAAAACTCAGTAACATGTTGCTCTGAGTGAGTATTGCATAATGTGTTGCCTATGCTTTTAGGGATAAATCAAAAACGCGTATCGCCAACATATACATAAATACGGAAATGTTTTCCTTCGTCTGAAAACACAGATCCCCAGACGCCGATAAAACTCGATATGCGCTAATTAAGTGCGATCGAAAAGGTCAGGACGTAATTAGTTCTCCTAATGATAGTAGAAGTCGACAGTGAATTAATTAACTCGTACGCTCGACAGACACCGTATCGGACCCGGCGATAACGCAAACAAAAAACGAAAACTTGGACATCTTCTCCACGATCAAAACAGATTCCTCCCCTTCCCGGCTCCGCCGCCAAACAAAAATAAAGAACAAACTTCGCGTAATTCTCGCAATTACAAGCAGCCGTAATTTGTTGTTTAAACCGGAATAACTCCCCAACAAGTTCCGTTAAAGTTTTGATTGAATAGCTCGCTTTTAATTTCGTCGGGTAGCGCCGTCAATTGTAGCTCTTTTGTTCCTCTCTTTTATTTCGCGACCCGATCCCCAGCAGGTCGGCACGATTTCGGCATTTTTATCCGTCCTTTCTGCCAAGTTAAACACTTTTACGATGTTTGAACAATTTTAATGACGCAGGCGTCGCGCCTTTTTTCGCTTTGAGGGGAATTTTTTAATTTAAATGCGTATAAAGTGCGCGGATTAGCAAAAACGCGAAGATTATATTCGTGTTTGTACGAGGTTTCGGGGTGCGGGAAGCTGGGATTTGCGTCCGATTTAATCGATACGGGTGTTGGCAGTTTCGGGACAGATTTTTACTTCCCGAGCGTAAGCAAAGGAAGTATTGTAATCGAGTCCGTCGGCCGACTCTCTACTTTTACGTTTTCTCGATCTTTCATGACCCCTAGAAGACGAAGAAATAGGTCTCCCATTTCCGTCCGTCTGTCCGTCTGTCCGTCTGTTGTCCCGGATTTTTATTAGACAGATAATCTCCGAAAGTACTCGACCGATTGTTGTGAAATTTTGTTCTTATATTAAGAATATCATGTAGATGGTAAAACGCTAACCAAAATTTGTCTAATCATCCCCACCACTAATGCGATGACGTCACTTCAAAATTGTACATAGTAAATGGGTTTTCAATTGTATAAAATAACATAGTCCTACACATGTAGTTTACAACTCTGAATCGACTTTTCACCCGAAACGTCCAGATTTTTGGAAAAAAAATCAAAATTATAAAACAACATTTTGAAATTTAATTTTTAATCTGCTAACCAGAATGCTTTGAAATGTTGCAGATGTTTTAAGACTATAAAGAGCATCATAAATCTTTAGTCAAAAAATATTTGCTTATCCCCTCCAAAAACTTGATGACGTCAGCTCAAAAGTTTGTGGAATAAATGATATCTAAAATGTACAAAATATGATGAGCCTGTACTTGTGATCTATCACTCCATTCATATTTTTTGGATTTGCATATACAGGGTGACTCAAAAAAATTAATGAAGGCGTGAATTTATTTTATCGATTTAATCAGGGATTACAAAACCGAATGCTCTGAAATCTTGCAGATGTTTTAAGGTCATAAAGAGCATAATAAATGTTTAGTCAAAATATATTTGCTTATCCCCTCCAAAAACTTGATGACGTCAGCTCGAAAGTTTGCCGAATAAATCATATCTAAAATGTACAAAATATGATGAGCCTGTACTTGTCATTTATCACTCCATTCATATTTTTTGGATTTGCATATACAGAGTGACTCAAAAAAATTAATGAATGCGTAAATATATTTTATTGATTTAATCAGGAACTACAAAACGGAATGCTCTGACATCTTGCAGATGTTTTAAGGTTATAAAGGGCATAATAAATGTTTAGTCAAAATATATTTGCTTATCCCCTCCAAAAACTTGATGACGTCAGCTCGAAAATTTGCCGAATAAATCATATCTAAAATGTACAAAATATGATCAGTCTGTACTTGTGATCTATCACTCCATTCATATTTTTTGGATTTGCATATACAGGGTGATTCAAGAAAATAAATGAAAGCGTAAATTTATTTTACTGATTTACTCAGGAACTACAAAACCGAATGCTTCGAAATCGTGAAGACATTTTAAAATTATCATAAGCATGGTAAATTTTTGATCAAAACGTATTTGGTCGTCCCCCCTAAAAAATTTATGATGTCACCACAAAATTTTGCTGAAAAAATCCTATCTAAAATGTACAAAATATGGTGAGTCTCTTCTTGTGATTTATCATTCCATTCAAATTTTTTCGACTTGCATATACAGGGTGACTCAAAAAAATTAATGAATGCGTAAATTTATTTTATTGATTTAATCAGGAACTACAAAACCGAATGCTTTGAAATCTTGCAGATGTTTTAAGGTTATAAAGAGCATAATAAATTTTTAGTCAAAATATATTTGGTTATCTTCTACAAAAAACTGATGACGTCAGCTCAAAAGTTTGCCGAATAAATCGTATCTAAAATGTACAAAATATGATGAGTCTGTACTTGTGATTTATCATTCCATTCATATTTTTGGATTCGCATATGCAGGGTGACTCAAAAAAATTAATGAAGGCGTGAATTTATTTTATCGATTTAATCAGGAATTACAAAACCGAATGCTTTGAAATCTTGGGAATATTTTAAAGTTATTATAAGCATGGTAAACTTTTGTTCAAAATGTATTTGTTCATCCCTCCTAAAAAAATTGATGACGTCACCCTTAAATTTTGCTGAATAAATCCTATCTAAAATGCAAAAAATATGATGAGTTTGTACTTGTGATTTATCATTCCATTCATATTTTTTAGATTTTCTTAAGAGGTGGTTCAAAAAAATTAATGAAGTCAATTTATTTTATTGATTAAATTAAAGGCAACACTTATTACTAGTATTACACCCCAACCAACCCAATTTGGTAGACACAAAATTTGTTAAAGGAAAAACTCGGTTGAAACATAAGGGTAGCACGCTTATTTACATTGACTTTAACATTACAGACCTGCATTTGTTTTATGCGTTCACTTGATTACGCGAATGTGAAATAGACATGTTTATAATCAACCAATTGTGAATTTCACCGTCAAGAATTAAAATAAAACCCAATGTTTTGTATAATAAGCGGAAGTCGAAGCAATAAAACCGACGGTCGTTTTGTTTACAGTTTCTCTGTTTGACTCTCACGTATGGTGTTACGCCTGTCATCTTAAATTAAGAATGTTTATACATACACGATTTTCAGTTGACTCTGATACGTAGGTATACGTGAGTAAATTGTTTCGTTATTTTATTGATTATTACAAATCAATATTCAAACGACCCAATTCATTTTCCCGAAAATTTGAGAATATAATAATTTTATTCTTAGTATTACACTACATCTATCCCAACTGATATACGTGTCCTTGCAAAAATGTTGATGACGTCATCGCAATTTTTTTTTAAATTCCCACTACAAAAATGTAATGAGAAAAAAAACACAATAGGCATGCAGTCGTCAAGTTTCCGACAGCGAGGGAAGTACTGTCTAAACTCTTTAGACCAATTTTTTAAGTAAACGCGAAACACTGGCGAATTTCCATCTTTCGTTTCCGCTTCGGAGTTCTCAAAAGATGCATCGAATCTGCGTAAATCCTTTGTTGAAGTTTCATCAAAGGACAAAATTTAGAGGGCGAACGGCAAGGAAAAAGGTTCGCGATTCGGTTATTATAGGATGAGCGCACTAAAGTAGTTTTCTCGTATGAATAAGCGGAGAACGAAATATATTTCTCGGAGGAAAATCCTCGGGAAATCTCGCTACATGTTAGTATATTTTATTTCAACGGCTAGAGTCACTCGATTACAGAAATAAAATAATACGGAACATAAAAGAAAAATAAAATGGTTACACGTAGTACTACTAGTGTGTTTTTTTTTCCTCAATGAACCACCTTTTGTTGCAGGTATCGAATGTATAGGAAAAGTCAGACAACAGGCTTCCCTTCCCTTATCACAATCTTCTCGGCACCCAATTACTTGGACGTGTATAACAATAAGGTAAGCTGGAAAATGCCGGAAAAATCCGTCATTGTGAGCGTTTAATTTATTCGGCGTAATTAACTGGAGCCGTTCGACTGTGGAAAATTCGGCAGCAATTGAGCGGATTGAAAATTTCAAGTGAATCGGTTGGTCGCTGAAAAAACGAAAATTAATGAGTTTCGAATCGTACGGGTGAAAAATTTAATTGAAAAGTTTGATTCGCAGAGGTTGTGATTACGCGAAGAAGGTGCATCGAAAGGAACGGTTTTAAAGTGCGCGGTGGACAGCCCATTCGTGACGTCACGCGGCAAAAACGAGCTCGGTTTTGGTTTTACCTATGAGCTTGTTATCCCCGCCACCGCAACCAAGTTGCGTCCGCGCTAATTGGTATGCGCGCCGCCATTTGCCGATGATTAATTCCGCCGTCCAATAAAAGCAATCGGCAAAACGGTAGCAGGCGAATGGACAGAACATGGAAAGTCCGCTCGTAAATTCCAAATCAATTGCGTTCCGTACCCTATGTCCTAGTTTATTATTTTCCTGTCGGAGCGTCGCCGTTTATTGGCACAATTTCCCCCATTTCGGGACTTTTATAAAGGCGTCCGATGTGCTAGTAAGCGGCGCTTTGTTTCCGGGCGACAGGTGACGATGCACGTGCAAGTGGCACGAGCACGGCCGTTCCACCGGATTTGTTAGCCGAGCGAAATCCGTTAAGCTGCGGTCGGGTTCAGGAAACCGCATAATGCGGGACAGGCGGCACCCGCAAAATTCGAACAATCAGCTTGCGCGGATAATGGCTGTTGCGGCTTACGCCCGAATCGCCCGAATAAGCGAACAATCTCCACCGGCACATTGTAACCGTTACAATTTTTTTCTGTTTTCCAGGCAGCCGTACTAAAATACGAAAATAACGTAATGAACATTCGCCAATTTAATTGTTCGGCGCACCCTTACTGGCTACCAAACTTCATGGATGTGTTCACGTGGTCGCTTCCTTTCGTAGGTGAAAAAGTGACGGAGATGCTCGTCAACGTCCTCAACATCTGCTCCGACGACGAGCTCGTCTCGGACGGAGACGACGCACTAGAAGAAGGTATGTCATTCCATCTGTTGTTTGTCGTTCGGAATTGGACGTGTATAATACGTGTCGTGCTTACACAAGACTAAAGTAGATCAGGTCATGATACATGTGGTCGAACCCGAAAGCGTCCGCTTGGAGATGCTTTCGTCGAGAAAATTTCATTTCATAGCTTTGAGAAGTTTTTGGGGCATAAACTGGCGAAATATTTAACAGCATCTTTCGGGACAATGTTATTGGGCTGAAAAGCAATCCGAAGGGAGTAAACAGGAATATTTGGGTTGGGGATCGATACGAGAAGCAGAAATGAGTGAGTTGTGTACGGCCGATCCGAAGATTCCTGTGAAGTGTGGCGGAGAGGTGATGCGTGCGGAGGCGGGTGACGCTTGTCGCTCCTAGAGACAACTAAACATAAATGGGTTAAAAGAAATTTAAAATCATTCAATGGTGTACTACGTACAATTTAAATAATATTTTTTTTATAAGAATTTGCCGCCTCTTTGAGATACGTTGCGAATTTATCATTGCGGCTGAATTACTGGTTGCCAACCTTTCAAGCCGCAAATTCACCGAAAAACTTTAAGAAAGTTGGGTTAGGATTGACACTTGTGACAGGCGAAGAGTACTAAACAATCATCACAACGAAGCGGCAAAATTCGCAAAATTTCAAAGCCAATTTGATGTAGAATGTTTTATTTTATGGTCATAACAAGTTCCAATAGAACAAAGAATTATTTATTTATTTTTATGATAATGTCTGTATCTTGCGCACTAATTTCCTTTAAAGTGTTTGGAAAGAATTCAGAAAGAGTGTCAAGTTACTGAGTTCACTTTTTGCGACAAATTATTAAAATATTTTAAATTGAAAAAATCAAAAATTGCAATACCTAAAAAAGGTTGAAGTGCCGAAAAATCAAAATATTTAAAAATTGAAAAATCCAACGTTTGAAAAAACGAAAAATTATAAAATTAGAAATCGAAATCTAAAAATTGAAGAAACGGAAATCTGAAAGATGGAAAAATCAAAAATTAAGAACTTCAAAATTGAAAACTAGAAAATTTGAAAAATTAAAAAAAGAAATGGAAAATTCTAAAAATTGCCAAATTGAAAATATGTAAACCAGAAAGTTCGAAAAATTAAAACTTTGTAACTTCAGAATTAAAAAAAAAAGACAAATCAAAATATTAAATTTAAATTGTAAAATTGAAGAATCGAAAACTTGAAAAATTTTAAAGTTGAAAAATCGAATGGTCCAGAAATTTAAAAAAGGAAAAATCTAAATATTTAAAAATTGAAAAATCCTTGATTTAAAAAACGTAAAATTATAAAATTAAGAGTTAAAATAAATTGAGAAATCAAAAATGAAAAAATTCAAAAACTGTAAACTCGAAAATTTGAAAATTATGTAGATAAATAAAAAATTGATAAATTGAAAAATCAGGAAGTTTTAAAATTGTAAAATTGAAGAAACGAAAAATTGAAAAATGGAAGTGAATAATTTTGAGACGAAAAATTAAAAACTGGAAAATTTTAAATTCTTAGAAGCACAACCCAAAATATGTTCAAATTTTTGTTTTGAAGATTCCCAAAGGTGGACCAAGTTTAGATGTCTTATTACAGTTGTCTCTGGGATTTGAAATCTTTACAGGTCTCTTATTGAATGTTGTAATAAAAAAATACGTCGACATGTTACCTAAAGAGCTAAATAAACAGAATTCCGAAATAAAATTCAAGACGACAAACGTCGCACGCTTCATCTCCGCCGGCCCAAACAACAGATCACTTTTCTCCATACACGAGAACATTATGAGGTGATTCTTAAAACCCACTAAAATTTAGATAGTTAGCTTTGTTTGATAGTTCTTACACGCTTATTATTTTCGTTCAACCAAATGATTCAAAAAAATACCTTTTGTTATTTTTCAATGCTACTTGGATTTTACAGATGGTAAGGTTCAGTTTTTATTCCCAACAATGATTTGCTTTAAATTTGTAGTACTTAAAATTAGTCTGCCTGAATAGTACGTGTTTTTTAGTTTTTCGTTGACTTTTGTTTGGTTAAAGCTAAATTTTCGTTTTTTCGTAATGTAATAAATAGAGTAAACTGACGGTCGGCTAATTTACTAAGCATAAGCATAATAATAATGAATACGATAACTGTCCGTTCGTTGTTGCCAAGTCGTTAGCAGGTCGCGACAGTGAATCGGCAACGAATGGTTTGATTATCGCAGAGTAATCGTCAATAATCGAGTAAGGACCCCTCATAAGTCAGTCAATCGAGCGTCTTTTGGTGTTATTAGTGTTTGATCAACTTTGTGTCGGTCATGTGTGCTGCCTATACACCTACAGGATGAATTTATAAAGTAAAAGTTGTTCAAACAAGCGTAATACTGCCAAATATCTTGATGTAAATACCCCTAGTTTCCGATACTTCTACAGTCTCGATGTTACCATTTAGTTGTTTATGACCCCAAGTAGCATCTTGTCCCACGAACTTGAACTTGAAAATTTTTTGATATGACAGATTACTTCTAAAAGCACTGCATAAGTCTCCGGCACTCGATCTCGAAATTCTCTCTTAAGTATATTATTTTCACTAAGTGAATCCATGCACTCGTATTGCTTATATTTTTTCTTCTATTCTGACACTTCTATTTTTCACTATTTGTCTATATTCGCCTTGGAATCGCGCCCACACAGCGAAACAGGCAAAAATTGTTATTAAAAAACCTGGTAAGTTATCACAGAACAAGCAGCTTGAACAGAGGAGTTAAAATAACACTGCATTAACGATCATTTTGAACAAAATTAATCGCGTTTTTGCCAGTTTTTTGTGGAACAATTCTTATTGACTGGAACGCCACCTGGCGGCGCACTCTCCCGCCTCGTCTCCGTCGTGTGAATAGGCATTGTTCCCAAACGGCTTGTTTTTGCAACATCTCAAATACACAACATTCAGTACAAAAGTGACAAAATTAACTTTTCTTATTTTGGTTGTTTTTTTATGCCGAACACACTAACCACCCTGACCACGTTTATTCATTCTCTCTTGATTTGATTTGTTGTTCTGTTTCGTTTGAAATTATCTTCATCCCATTGGTAGATTAGTTTATGTTGACTTTGTTTCCTTAAATATCTGGATTTTCGTTAGACGTAGCAAGAATAGATGTAGATGCATGTTGCATATTTTTGATGAATATGTAACTTAAATATTTGGCATTATTAATACTCTCTCTAATAGCAAAAATAAGAAGAGTTTCACGAAACGAGATAGACTATCGTAAATTTTTGTATTTTAATCTCCTTATTGTTTTGTCTTTTTACGATTTAACGATGTCTCTTAATTACATTTTCTCGCTTTGTTTGTTTTTTGGCGGATTTTGCTTAGTTTTAATTTTCAGCTTTTGAATAAATTGAGTACCTTTTGGCTGGTTTTTGAATAACACTTTTTTTGTTTTCTTTGGATATACGATTTTTTTAGTTTTTGTGACCTTGTGGATACCGAAAGAGCGCTTCCGCGTATCCGCAGGCCGTGGTTTTGACGAATGAAGCAAAATTATCGTTTTTTTGTTATTTGTTCTGTATGTTTGACGCTATAATTTTCTACATGCACCGTTTGTTTTGTTTTTTTCTATAACTCTACGCTCGCTACTACACTTTGCGCCACTGCCCATTTGCTGTCGATTTCTTCATCCGTGGTGCCGATCAACATCTGCATCTTTTGGTAAGTTGCAGTTGCCGTTAGGTTGTTAACGTTGACGTCGCTGCTGAAAATTATCACCCTCCTGTTGTAAATAAGCACAATCACGACATGCTTATTGAAACGGTGCGAGTGTGGTGAACCCCTGAAGCAGCCGCAAACCGATTTAAACGAATCCGAAAACAAACTTTTTGGATTGGGGGTCGGAAGAGAAAGATGTACAGTATAATGCAAAATATTTTTCAATGCTGGAAGGTTACGCCGCCTTTATTGTGTGCTTTTCATTATTAATAACGAATACGAAACTCGGTTCGACTGCGAGGTAAAATAGCAAATCTAATTTAACCGCAAAAACCGGAAAGTTGTAAAAAAGCTTTCACTCAATTTCTTTGTGCAAACAGATTGGTCTAACGATTATTGTATATATAATCGATCGGCGTCCCTTTTTTGTATCGTCAGTGAATTTTTTTGAGTATTTTAATGCGAATTTTTAATTCGTTGAAATTTCACCAACTCCAAAAAAAATTAAATTACAGCGTTGTCTATAGTCTGATTTACAAGTTTAAATCGAGTTTGTTGATTTCTGATTTTGGAAAGAAAAATTCAACATAAGTACTTTCATAATCCCTCGTGTTTTTATTTTTAGTTTAAAAGCAAAATAATACAATTAAAAAACACTGTATTAACAAAGAAAAACATATTTTTAAAAAAGCAATGGAAAAATAAATTGACAAAATAAAGGACACTTTTTGTCTTAAAATCACAATAAAAACAGATTATTTCTAATACACAGAAGAAAATGGGATACAATCTTAAAAATCTATATTTTTATTAAAATCGGAAATTTTGCCAGGCTTTCTTAAAATTTTATTTTTTTCTTGAAATATCAAGACAAGTTAGATTTTAAACAAAGGAACTGAAATAGTTTAAAAGCTCAAAAATAATACAGTAAAAGCACTATTAAAAATGAAAATAGAAAGAACAGAATAAAATGCGATAAAATCTCAAAAATCTACATTTTTTTTTATTAAAATCAGAAATTTTGACAAGTTTTTGAAAATTTTGGGTTTTTTTTCCTAGATTTTCAAAAAAACGCCGATTTTAAGAAGAGTTTAAATTTTAAATAAAGCAATAGAATTAATACAGAAGAAAATAAAATCTCAAAAATCTACATTTTTTATTAAAGTCAGACGTTTTGTCAGCCTTTTTGAAAAGTTTTTTTTCCTGGAATCTCAAAAAAAACAAGACGATTTTAGAAAGAGCCGAGATTTGAAAGAAAGCAATGGAAATAACACTGTTAAAAAAATAAAATAAAAAAGGCTTCTAAAATACAGACGAAAATGAAATGAATAGAATGAATACAACGATTTTAAGAAAAGGTGAGATATTAAATAATGGCATATAAAAAGCTCAGATATAATACAATAAAAAAAAATATATTATTAAAAATAAAAACATACTATTTCTAGTATCCAGAAGAAAATGGGATAAAAGCCCAAAAATCTACATATTTTTATTAAAACCAGAAATTTTGTGAGGCTGTTTGATTTTTTTATGTTTAAATAAAGCAACTGAAATAGTTTAAAAGCTCAAAAATAATACAGTAAAAATACTATTAAAAATTAAAATAAAAACAACAGAATAAAATGCGATAAAATATCAAAAGTCCACATTTTTTACAGAAATTTTGACAACTTTTTGAAAATTTAATTTTGTTTCCTAAAATTTCCAATAAAACGACGATTTTAAAAAGAGTTGAGATTTTAAATAAGGTATTAGAAATAATACAGAAGAAAATAAAATCTCAAAGATCTACATTTTTTTATTAAAGTCGAACGTTTTGTCAGCCATGTGTTAAAAAAAATGCTTCTAAAATACAGAAGAAAAGGAAATAAATCTCAAAAATCTAAATTTTGTATTAAAATCAGTGGACTTTTTGAAAAATTTCTTTTTTCCTAGAAAATGAAAAACCAAAACGGTTTTACTAAGAGTTAAGATTTTTAAAAAAGGAATGGAGATAAACACAGTATTAAAAAATAAATAAAAGCCGATTTCTAATATAAGAAGAAAATGGGATTAAAATCTCAAAAATCTACTTTGTTATGATATTCAGCAATTTTGCCAGATTTTTTGAAATTTTTGAGGCGATTTTAAGAAGAAACGAGAAGTTTAAAAGCTCAAAAATAATACAGTAAAAACACTATTAGTCATTAAAATAAAAACAACAAATTTCTAATCTGCAGAATAAAATGCGATAAAATCTCAAAAATCTACATATTTTTGTTAAAATCTGAAATTTTGTAAGTCTTTTGAAAATTGTATGTTTTTCGTAGAATGTCAAAAAAACAACGATTTTAAGAAGAGATGAGATATTAAATAATGCAATAGAAATATTTTAAAAGCTCAAAAATAATATAGGAAAGACACTGTATTAAAAAATAAAATAAAAACAGGTATAAAATCTCAAAAATTCAATTTTTTTATTAAAATCAAAACATTTTGTCAGACTCCTTGAAAAGTTTTTTTTCGCCTAGAATCTCAAAATAAAACAGACGGTTTTAAAAATAATTAAGATTTAAAAAAACAATAGAAATAGTTTCAAAGCTCAAAAATAATATAGAAAAAAAACCATTACTAAAAAATAAAATAAAAACAAACTTCTAACATACGAAAGAAAATGAGTTAAAATATCAAAGAATGTACGTCCTTTAGTTAAATCAGAAAATTTGTCAGACTTTTTGAATTTTTTTGTGGAATCTCAAAAAAACGACGATTTTAAGAAGAGTTGAGATTTCAAAAAAAGCAATAACAGACAAAGAAGATTAACAAATGTAAAGCCAAGATGTCCTCACACAAAAAAATTATAATCTCAAAGGCTTTGGAAAGTTCGAGGACTTTCGAAATACTTACATATCAACATTTTGGCTTGGAAGATGTAGATTTTGAAAAAATAAATACAATAGTAAATCTCTTAGTATATCGTAAAATTTATATTTCAAAATTTGAAGATTTTTCTCAAGATTCTCAAAAAAATGCAAATCAAGAGATGCGCAATTTCGTTTTTTTTTTCCATAGCACTGTGGACCTAAAGATCATAAGAAAAGAATAGAAATTTCAGAAAGATCACAAGTATTAAACATAAAGTTAGCAATCAATAGCTTGAAAAAATAATTATAATATTAAAAATTCCACGAACACTTGAACAACTTGACAAAATATGAAGGATTCCGGGGGATTTTTTTTTTTATTTAAAAAAAATGGAAAAAGTGAAGGAAAAAAAATGTATAACGAATAGTTTTTCCTTAAAATTTAATTTGTTTCTAAAGTTAAAATTTTGTCACAAAACCCTTCAACCTCAAACGTCTTGTCACATCCAAATTGTTTTTGCTTTCGCCCCCATCAAAAAATTACCCTTAAGCACAAAACCGTCCGTTGAGTCGGATTTTAAATTTTAAACGCGACCTCTTGCAACAAGTCAAGAACACTATCACATTTAAGTTGAAATTTTGCACATGTACTTGACGTAATTTAAAATAAGACTAAAGCCGCTGCTGGTACTAATTCAGGGGTTTAACCACATCCCACTAAACAACATAATTTTCAACAAGCTTCCTTATTTACTAAGCTCTGAATGCTGATCGTTGCATGTCACCATCAATCCGATCATAATTCGGTACATACTACCATCCATAAATTAGAATCAAACTTGATCAGAGGTAAATATGAGCCACTGATTCCTTATTTTATTTTGATTTGTTTTCCCTCATATGTTTGAACAAAACTCGCATAACATATTCACACCCCCGTAACCCCACTAGAGTAGTAAGTGTTTAGGTGACATAGCTACCCTGTTCGTAGTTAGCCCCTAGTTCGGCACACTATTGACCGAATCGTTGTCTTATAGGTACAGCAGCTAACCTGAGGAAAGAAGTAATACGTAACAAAATCAGGGCAATCGGTAAAATGGCTCGAGTATTCTCCGTGCTAAGGTAATAGAAACAGCAATCACCTCAAGGCTGTTGTTGTTTCGTATACTAATCAACGATTATTTTGTTGTAGGGAGGAGAGCGAGTCGGTTCTCCAACTCAAGGGTCTCACGCCAACGGGCGCTCTGCCCCTCGGGGCGCTGTCCGGAGGCAAGACCAGCCTCAAGAATGGTGAGTTTTCAACCCTAAGGTTGTAAATCGACGAAATTCGATTTTTTTGTGCAGCGTTGCAAGGGTTCTCTCCTAACCACAAGATAACGAGCTTCGCGGAAGCCAAAGGTTTAGACGCCATCAATGAACGCATGCCGCCGAGGAAAGATGCGCCGCCGTCGCCGGCGGAAGAGACGCCACAGGACCATAATCACACCCAGAGTAATGCACACTCGTGAGCTACACTTAAATAGGACATCACATTGGCCGCCTGCAGGTGACGAGCTTTAATTGTGTAGCCGGTGGGGACCTGGGTTCGAACTTTTTTCTTAACCTTACTTAACTACTGGCTCGATTGTTGTCAAATTGACAGTTCGCTCCCAGCCCCCAGTTTTACTCATAATTTTTGTACAGATACAGTTCGCGGTTGTGGAAGTATTAAATGAGCCGAGGAAGGGAGTGCGTTTCTGATGGTTGTTTTTTCAGGTATGCGCAACAAGAACCATTGGGTACCCTGCAGTGGCGCTCACCTCTACTACATGTAACATCTTTATTAGACTATAGACACATTTTTTCATTGGGACGACAGGCTCGTTCACATCTTATTGAACAAGTAGCTGGTCTGCTTCCTCTCTCTATCTGTAATTTCTGCTATTCGTGCCTCGCTCTTGCACACTGCTCTACCGCTATTCTCGCTTGAGGACAATCGTCCGGTGTTATTATCATCTAACTACATTCCATATCTACTGGGTTTTGAATAATCGTAGCACCGTTGGGTCCTCTAGACAACCCACATATTTATTATTTTAATATTATTATATTATAAATGTAAACTTGACGTCATAAATTCGTTGTATAACCAGTAGAGTAAGTAGTGATATAAAAAAAAAATAATAAGTATAATGATAAACATGAAAATGATGATAGTTATCACTCTGTTACTACTACGTACAAGAATTAAAAAGAAAAAAAAATGTGAAAAAAATGAAATCGTATATCGGTCAGCAGTGTGAAATGGCGGGCTAGGAGTAGCTGGTCGCACGTGTTGAGTGATATAAGCGTGCCATACCCACCTGTCGCCACACCTCATCCTCATCCTCATCAATCAACCCATCAGAAATCATCATGATCACTATGTGTTAATTTAAAAGATATTGCTATATATAATATACATATTTAATGACTCATGTGCTGAGTTGAGGATTTCATTGTGCGAAATAAGTACATTTATCTCTCTATTAATATTATAGAAAGTGTTTGATTTTAATATTAACACAACAAAATACACACACATCTTTGCTACGAGCTGTACTTATTTTTTGATTGTACAAATTGTGTTATACTATTAAATGTTTAATATTAACTTTTCCTCTCTGTCTGAGCGAGACGTTTCAGTTAACGAAAAAATTGTGTATATAAAAATAATACGTGTACAAATGTGATTGATGTATGCAGATCCCGAGCAAACAATCCGACCTTCGCAACCTGAGACCTCGTTGTTACGAATCTCCAGCACTTCAATGCTTTCTTCCTCAGACAAAGAGTTGGCGTGAATGTTCGTTCGAACTTCTGTTGTGGTGTGCCAGCGTGTTAAGTTGTAATACCTATTAATCTTATTGAATTCTGTAAATTTACTCTATAATATATTATATACATAATATGGTATAGTTAATTATTAGGTAATATCTCAACCAACTATCGGATAACTTAGAATGATATCAAAATTTAATATGGCGTCCCTTAACTTTTATACAAATGTAACTACGCTGTTGCTTAAATTGTATTCGTTGAATTTTTATGAAAACTGTTGGTTCGTAGGGCGGAACGATCACGATCACGTGACTGAAGGGCCCTTCCTTCTATTCGTGTGTTGTGTGTCCTTGGGAATAAATCGTCGTATAATAAAAATAAATATACCGACTCTCGTCGTCACTGTCATACTCTCCTCCTAGCGAATGTATCAAAGTTTGGGGCATCGTTTTAATTAATCGGTTATTAAAACTATATTTAGTGGTGTGTGTTGCTAATCACTTTGTCATCTAACGAAATTGTTAACTAGTCATTTCATTCACTACCTCTCACCTGTACATACAATTATTATATTGTGTTGTTTATAAAAGTCTAATTTAAGTTGAAACTTTGTTAAAGTTAGTGTAGTAGACGGTTTACTGTCGTTATTAAAAGTCTGTTCGGGTCGAACAGAATGTGGTATGACGAAGCAATAAAATGACATTTTTCTAATGACTTATTAGAAAGTTAAAAAAAAAAAACGCGACGATTGTTCAAGTGGTTAGTGGGCACGCGCTAAATATACTTTTAAGTAAACAGTTTCTAAATGTGTAGATCGACCTTAGTTGTTTTGACTGATACTTTGCCGATATTTTGGTGGTTATCGTTGTGTTGAGGTTTCGATGCGCAGCAACGTTACGTATTTTTTATGGTGTTATTACGTAGGATAAATTTTACTTGACGCAGAATAACGCTGGTGCGGCCATCGAGACCGGGCTAAATTTCGGTTACATACCATTGTAAATGTTGAGCAACCTCCAACGGCTTGGCCTGTCCAAGCGATAAGTAAGCTGATTATTTGTGATAGCTATCCTTAATTTTGAATAGCTTTTTGGTATTCGAGTTTGACATTTTCCATGTCCTCGGGCTGCGCGGTTTGGACCGGCCATGCAAAATGTCAGATTGTGATGCATTTTTTTGAAAATAAACTTTAAAAATTGTATAATATTAAACTATCTATATGCCTTCATACTTCCTAACTTATTATTATTATGATTATATATAATAATGCACTGAAGTATTGGGATGTTAGACTTTTAATACTTTAGTACTATCACCGCGCCACTTTCGGTGGCCGTTTTAATATTAATCTCAGTACTGGAACTTGACATTTTTTGGGGAAAATGCCACCTTCTTGACACGCTCGTGTATAAACATCCAGTAAATACTCAAGAAATTCGTTTGTTGATCTCATGGAGCACCGGAGTGACATGGATTGTTGCGATTTTCGTTCGATTCGATCGATTCGGCGTCTTATTCTAATGCAAGCAAGCAAGGGTGGTGTTTTGTGGTGAGTGTGCATTTCCAGTACGTCTAGAATTAGCTGAATGTTTTTAAATAATTGAATATACATTATATACATATTACAATGCGTTGATATAATTCATATCAATCGAAATGTGCAATTTAAGATGGACAAACTTCTAAAGTTCTGCATGTTACATTTGGCAGTTGTTTATCTGTGATCGCCTTGCGTTACTGAATTTAAGTTATTTTACTTCTGTCAAACATCTTGGTTCGTTTATTGTAATGTTACGATTATTCTACATTTCAATTGTAATGGATATTTTGATTTGTGTTCTTATTAAATATACATAATTGAAAAACGACTCTCTATCTATCTCTCTCTTTCTTTAATTTGCCACTCCGACAACCCCACCCACTCAGGTAAGTACGCACGTTACAGTTAGTCTTCTATTCACAATAATTGGGGTGCAGGAGTTCAGAGGTTATCTGCTCAATAAAATGGAAAAGCTGCAGTTTTCTATTTAATGAGTTGTAAAACACCAAGAGAACATTAAATTAGACACGAAAATAACTATTGCAAAACTTCCCATGGGTTAATCCAGAACTAAAAGCTGGTTTTTTCACTACTAATAAATTGTCTATATATTAAAAATTACAATACACAACATACACAGTTTGTGACACTGTTTACAAATTATAAACATGTTTGAAGAAAAAATTTCTATAAATCTAGTGTCCACTTTTTTAAATTAAACCAATTTTGAAGGTTGCTCATTGTAAATAGTTGGAAGTTCCGGTTTTGCAACTCCCTAAAACCGCCTCTGTTGTTCAAGGAGACACACAAATGCCATTTCCTCATGTGACGCCAATACAAAAAATAGTTTTAAAGTAAATTATTACATATTATGTAATCATAGCTAGAAGTACTATACACATTACTCAAATAAAATAATTTTTTGCGACAAAGGATCCAAAAAATCTACAAACGTACGAGCTAAATGAATTTATTATTACACTAATTCACTTAATACATACACATCATATATAATATAACCTACACTATTGCTATGTCAAAATATATAAAAAAAATCAAATAACCTTACAAGACAACCACATACCGCTCTTTCCAGCGGTTGGAAAAAATTAAATGATCCCGATTTTATCTGACGAAATCAAAACATTGCCAACTTTTAGTGTTTTAATGTAATAATTTTGCAAAAGTGTCACTTTACTTCACTTTTAGTTGGCTACAATTAAATTAAGCGACACTCGTCAGTAAAAAATGTTTGCAACTCAACCAAGTGCCAACATTTCGACCTCGCCACATAAAACCATCCGACTTTTTGTGTCTTAGCAGAACCGTTACGTCTACTGCTTACGTGCCTTCTTGCTTTTAGGTCCTGCCCCGTTTTTTACGGCGCCACCAACAGCAGAACGACGCGTACGCGGCGACGCGTTCGTGTTTTGTTGCGTTTGTGGCTGCTGCTGCTGCGGTTGTGCTGCAGGCTGCTGTTGGGGTGGAGTTTGTTGCACGGGCTCTTCTTTCTTGGGCTCAGCAGCGGGAGCGGGAGTGGCGGCCGGAGCCGGTTGTTCCGGCTCTTTCTCGGCAGGCTGCTCTTCCTCCTCTTCCTCTTCCTCGGGCTCTTTAGCCGCCTCTTCCTCCTCGTTACACGCTTCTTCAGGATCGTACATGTCTAAAAATCGCGTTGGAGTGATTGGTTACAAAAGTATCGACATCTTACTCGTACCGTCGTTGCCGTTTTGAGTCTCTTCGTTCGTTTCCTCTTTCTCGACGGTTTCTTCTTCGTCACGCTTGCGCTTCTTGTACTCGGCCTCCTTGGCGGATTCTTCTTGTTGTTTCTTGAACTTTTGTTTAACGGCTTCGACGAAGGTGTAATAGTGGCCTTCGGTTCTTAAATGTGCCTGGACAAGAAAAACATTATAGCGTATTTGTAACCATTACAACCCTAGAGCGATAAAACCCATTTACGCACGCCTGCACACAACATACCTGAGCAAACTCGTCGTTCTCGAAACTCCTATTGCAAATGTCACACATGAAACCGTTGAAAGGTTTCAAGCTTTGACTGCCAATGGGACGATTTTTTCTGAAAGCGGGAATACGATTCTGCAAGTTGTTTAATTCATCGGTTAATTCGAGAATGGGATGTTCATCCTCCAATTCCATTGTTTCTTCTAAGACGGGCTCGAGATCCATCTCCAGATCCTCCTCGATAATTTCGCCATCTAAATATATATACCGTGTCACAAAACCGCACATAGAAAAAGTCAAATAATACCTTCTTCCCCTACTTTTCCTTCCAAGGTCTCGTTAAGCTGTCTTAAATGTTCCGGTGTCAACCGATGGTCAACCCAGTCCATACGTGATGGGAACTCCTTCCCACAAATGTCGCAGTTGGGGTGCAAGAAACGCTTCAAACGCTGATGACCTTCAGTTCTATCAAAATACCACCGCGTTAAGCACCGCCCACTTTTAATCACCGATTACTCACTTGCGATGCGTGATTATTTTCCCCAAGAATTTCAAATCGCACATGTTGCAGTGACTCTCCGGCTCTTGGAATTTACGATTAAATTTGTTCTTACTGAGACGTCGCATACGGTTCAGTTCGATAACTTTCTTCTCTTCGGCCAAGCGCATGTTCTCCCTCAGTATGTTCACAGTGATGTGGAAACTTTCCTCGAGGCTCGTAAGCATCTGCTTGTGGGCGCGACCTGCCAAAAACCAACCGAATCAGCCGAGAAACAAACAAAATTTTTAAGTGGGGATCACCACCTACCTTACATTTCTTACAACTACCACACAAATTACACCCTGCAGTGAACATAAAATTAAAAGTGCACACACCACCTTCACCAAGCACGCATTCATTTAATCGCAATTAAAAATAATTCAACAATGGGGGAAAAAGCGAAATGGGAAACGAACACACTTTCGAGCATGCGTGGGTAAACGGCACACACAAAACCAGCGTGAACACGGATAAATGTTACCTCTGATGTGCTTCTCGAACGACTCCCCGTCCCACATGTCCTTGCTGCACACGAAACAGTGCAAGAACTTCTGCGGGACGCCGTAGTACTTCCCGTCCAAATCCCTCGCTTCCTCCTTCTTGTCGTCTTCGCCATCGTCTTGCCCGTCATCGTCCTTCTTCTCGTCGCCCTTCTTCTCCTCTTTCCACCCTCTCTTCGTCTCCTCCCCGTCGTCGTCTCTGATGTCCTCCGTCGACAGGTCGATGGTGTCTATCTTGTCGTCTTTAGTTTTTTCGTCTTTTTTCTCGATTTTGCGCTTGTCATCTTTGACGTCTTTGATGAACTTGGGTTTGATTGGCGAGCGTTTGCGGTTATCGCGTTGCTGGAAATTGGGGCGAGGGCGATTCGGGCCGAGGTTTTTATTCGAGTCCAATTGCCGCCAGCCACCATTGCGGTTCTGGTGATTTGAATTGGGTTAAGGGGGAAGTAAATTATAAATGAAAGAAATAAAAGGAGCGGAGAGGGTTGTGACCACTATAAAATGAGTGAGGAGTGTTTGACGTGTTTTTGCATAGTTTTAGAGACTCAGGAGGACATTTCGTCGTTTTTATTATCGCAATAGGAGTTTTCTTGAGTTATGAATCATATTAACTTTACTACGTACGTACGAGTCGACGTAACTTGAAAGGGATAAACTGCGCAGACGCAATATGCGTTAGGAAAAAATGCATGACACTGTTTTATAGAATATGTATGAAAAAAAAAAATACTATGACGATCTGCCAAACGTCTCGCGTTGTGGTAAGTCCTTATTTTAGCGGAAATACAAAAAAATTGGCCGAAGGTTTGAATTTTGCAATTTTTCGTTTCGGTTTTACATTTTTGTTTTTTTTTTTCAATTTTATTTTTTTCAGTGTTTCGTTTCTTCAACTAATAGACAGAGAGAAAGAAACGGAAATTGGGAAACCACTTTTTTCGCCCTCTAAGAGGTTATGAAACGTCGAGAAAACATGAAAGTGTAAGTCGCCCGATGGACTCGATTCTGAAAAAAGGATATTAGAAAACTAAAAATGTTAATCAAAAAACCCATATTCTATGATAAAAGATATTTGATGTCGTATTAGTAAGGCTAATATGATTCAATAACGTGAAACTTTACAGACGGTTGACATCTAGTGGCAAAAATTACAACAGGCCATTACAAGTGTACGTTTATTTTCAGTGACCAAAATTGATATATAAATTGTGCACGCTTTCCTTCTCTCGACATTGCATAAGAAATGAAACACAAACGTTTAGATTTCTAATTATGGCCAGAAAAAACAGAAGATGTTACTCCAGCTCATAAAGTCACTACTGTGCGAAAAACTAAATACTTATGACGACTACTGATTTGATATTTTTTATGAACATGCTATTTGAGCAAATTTAATCGACACCTAGTGGCAAAAACTGGAAACTAACGAGGCTAGCGCCACCTAGTGGGCCGAAATGCCTCCTATAACATTACAAAGCTATTTAATATTTTCAACACTAGGAGTTCGAGGAGACTCTTGTTATGTTTAGCGTGAAGTCGGTCTGGAATTTAGCAGCCGAATTACATTGAATTACTTAATAAATAAAGGGAAATTAAAACGGTCAACACAGAAGGTGACTTTAGTGATTTTAAGTGACGTTTGCTGCCTCAATTGTTTAAAATTCGGACTAGAGAGATGGGTGAAGCTACAACACTTGAGGCAACACGGGGTCAGAGAAACCCTCTACGTGCGAGATGAGCGTCAACCTGTCATCAGTCTCGATAACTAAAAGAACGAAAGCATTCTTAGCGAATCGTTAGAGAGAGTCTGTCCGGAGAGAGAAAAATAAATAAAGTGCATACCTTATTGTAAGGCTCGTTTCGTCTGAAATCAGACCGGCCCCTGTTACCAAACCGATTAAAGGAATCACGGCTATCTTGATGAGAAAAAGCAGGAGACGTATTCAAAGAAAGTAATGATGGCGGATTGTTCATTTGCTGCTGTTGAGGTTGCAGTAAGTTGGTTAAAGCTAGAGCAAGTTGCTGAGGGTTTGCCGCCAACTGGCCGAGCAAGCCCCCCGATTGGTTCAACGAATTATTAGAAGGCATGTTCCCTTGCCAAGGGCTAACATTGTTCCCTTGAAACGGTTGATGCGAAGAAAACGAGCGATTGCCTCTTTGAGGTCCGCCCATTCCACCACCAAGTCTTCTATTAGCCATGATTATTTCAACTAGATAATTGCAATAAGAAAAAATTAGAAAACGGAATGGCAGCTGTAGAAGACGCCGTCTTCCATACGCAAACAGTCGCTCGGAAAACGCGAAAACGCACAAAAATCTTACCTGTGGCGATCGACGAAGGCGCACTGAACGATTTCACAAACGATTAGCGCTTCGAACGGCCGATTTAAGATATTTTGAGGAGTCGTGAGTTTACACCGCTTTGGCGAAATCACAAACCGCAAAATGGCGACGTGACGCTGACGCGCTGGAGAAGGCCGCAGTGCGCAGTCGCGCACCGACTTCCGGCGACGACTTCCGCCACTACCAACATAACATTTGAAAACTATCAAGGGTAGATTTTTTTACATCATCCGGACTCTGTTTAATTTATTTAATTTTGATTATGCTTAAATGTCCTTTAGTCCGACCAAAACGATAATAACACTCGAGATAAAATAAAACTTTTAAAAAGCGACACTTCAGTCACTACCACGCTTCTATCGCCTTCTTTATCACACTTACGTCGTCTGTCTCTTTCTCCGCGCCGCTAACCTAACATAACCTCTCCTAACCTCAAAACTAAAGTTGTAAAAGTCAAAAAATTTTAAAATTAAGCAGCCAAATTACAAATAATGGACTCCTCATCACTCAACAGTCTATCCGGAGCGCAAAAGGATGAGTTAATGGATCAAGTCAAACAACAAATAGCGGTCGCAAACGCCCAAGAACTATTAACTGTACACTCACATTTTACATAACGAACCCGCATTTAAACACTTTGCTTTCAGAAAATGACGGAGAAGTGCTTTAAAAAGTGCATAAACAAACCAGGGACGTCGTTAGACAGCTCGGAGCAGGTTCGTCTTTCATAAAACACTCGCTCGATTTAAAAATTGTCTTCCAGAAATGTGTCGCGATGTGTATGGACAGGTACATGGATTCGTGGAATTTGGTGTCGAAAGCCTACAGTATGCGAATTCAACGAGAAAGAACTAACATGTAGACTATTCCAGTTTGTAGCGGAGTTGTAGATTGTTTGTTACGGTGGTGCAAAGTTCATGATCTGTAAATATGGACTGCAACGGTTTTATTATTTTGTAGCCACTAAACCCGTTAATAAAAATGAATTCTCAAGTAAAGCGACGCTCGATTTTGATTCTTTTTATTTAATCAAATCACAATCGCAAGGCACATTTTAATTAAGTACAAAACCTTAACCTAAATAAGAAACTAGTTAGTGAGAAAAAGCCACAACCACGCAGGGGTTATGCAAACGTAAGTACAAGTGAGCAAGTTTTAAGTACACTAAGTGTCCAAGTTGTGGGATGAAGTCTCATCCACACTTAAATTCGTTTCAATGTTTGTGGAATTACTATACTTATTGTCTGGAGTTTTTTTCTTGGAGGTGCTAGTCCCGTTCGTTGTGTGTTCTGAACACTGTTGTAGCTCCTCAAAGAGAGGCTTCGGGGAATCAATCCTACTCTGAGAGAGTTCAATTTCACTCCCAGACATGAAGTCCTCTTCATAATCATCCTTAATTTCAAAGTCATACTCTTTAGATTTTTTGTACAGAGATGGCAATAAGTCGCTGCCTCGGGGTTTACTTAGCTGCAATGGAGGGAGTTCGAGTTTTTTTAATTTCTTTGTTTTGTCTTCGGATTTTGATTTTGATTCAGGACTGCTTTCTTGTTCGGGGGTGGTTGACGCTTCCTCGTCATTACTGGTTGATTTGTGAGAGACGTCACCGTTAGCACTGACGGACTCTTCTTCTATGGAACTTGTACCGTTGAAGGTGTCATCGTTTTCGTTCTTTTTCACGTGGGCGGAGTACACAGGGTTGTCTTCAACCTCTCCATTTTCTTTTTTGAGCACGTAAGTGGAATTAAGGTCGTTTTTCACGGGACTGTCACTATCCGCGCTGTGTCCATTCACTTGCTCTTGAACTGAAGATGCAGAACTGGACAGATTGGACTCCTGGTCGCCGTTAATATTAGTTAAATTAATTTTCAGAGTTTTTGATTTTAATTGAGCAATTTTCACTATGTGGAACAAAACGGGGCCCGTGAGGTCCTCAGACTGCAGACCCAAATCATCAATGACTTTCTGGCGGCCTTCATACTTGTAGAAACTTCCTACGTATGATTCAGGATCATAAACAGAAGCAGTAAAGTCAAGGTCAAAGTACTCAAGAAACTCGCGAACTAAACAAAACATTAATTGGCCTTCTGGAGATTCTAGATATGGTTTGATTTTTGTGTTGAGGAGGGGTTGTTGTTTACTTATCTAAAACACAGAGTTTGAGGGTGTTTTCATACTAATTTTGACTTTACCTTTGAGTCTTCATCCAAAGCGAGAAAAAGGCTGGCTCTGAGTTGCGCCTACAAAACAAACCACGTGATTCATCTCCACGATCAGTTAATTTAAATTACCCTAATTTTGGGGAGGCAGCCGTTCAGTTCCAAAGTCTGGGCTACGAGGTCTCGCAGTTCCACTTCCTCTTCCACGGACATTTTCGCAAACTACGGCAAATTGTCGTCGCTAATCTGGTTGAGCCAGCAACTGATAAAACTAATGAGGGTTTGTTTTTATTGAGCTTCTTGTCATTTGTTTACTTGCAAGTTTTATTGCGAAACGGTTGTCACAGCACTGGTCGGAGTGAGCAAAATTGGGAAGTTTCATTGGGGAAAACAACGAAAACTGGTTTAGAAACAGAAAAAAATCGAAATCAAAATTTTGCGTTTTAACCGTCCTTCAACCCTCATCTTGAAAACAATTATGTCACCTGTCACCTGTCATCCCCACTCCGGGAAGCAGTGACCACCAAACAATTCGAGTTGAGAAAGTTTATTATAAACTGAGATTTCATAAAATATAAAAATAAAAACAAGTCTTAAAAATACATCACATTAATTAAGTACTGTGTGAGGTTAAGAGGAGATTCTATGAGTGAGACGACACGTGCGAGAGAGAGCTGCGACTTTGTCTGGTAGACGGTCGTCTGATGCTCTTCAAAACGGCAAAAATTGTGTTCGCGTCTACTCCCATGTTGAGGAACTCCACCAGAATTCTGGAAATAACACAATATAAAATAATTTAAAAAAGGCGAAAAATCGCCACTAAAAAAAAATACATCATTTTATTTCGTGGAAGAAAAGAATGTGAAAGAAAAATGTATAAAAAAAAGACCCCATTGTCACATTTTTTAATTTTACGTGATCAGCACCCTCTAGCGCCGAAACATTTTGACAACCACTGACACGTGGCCAATTATGGATTATAAAAAAAATACCTAAAGACTTTCGAGTCCATGTGAATGCCAGCCAGCTCCCCCAGCAGCTGAAGTTCCTCCTGATGGGGCTGGAATTTTCCGACCAGCGACGACGAACTCTCCTGGACTTTCGTCTGCATTTTAAATTTGGACTGACTACTGCTTACGGAACGTCTAATTTCTGGTAAATCTTGGCGGGAGCTCATCAAAAGTAGCGCCTTCGGGCACGCACAAGCTCAGCGATAATATTTGTTATTAACAATTAAAATTTGTCGTTAGCGGCTTGCACAAGCGTCAAGGGTTCGAAATGTCAAAATTCGGGGCGGGAAGTTTGAAATTGACGACGTAAGTGCGGTTTCTGCAACGAAACGGAGGTTTTTGCTTATGCAAGCACTAGAAGTGCTTTCAGAAGGTGTATATATTGGGGGTTTATGAAAATGTTGGTTTAATTTGGGTTATTTTGCGAAATGTGGCGTTTGGGGATCACGTCCTAAAGTTAAATGTCCCAAATGTCACCAATGCTCAAATGTCATTTATTCATTCGGGGTTTTATTAATAATAATAATAAATTTCAGGAAAAACAGTGCAACAATAATTTGCCTGCCAGTGAAAAATGGCAGTTTTGAAGGGAAGCATTTATTCCCAAAATTATAGCACCACAAACGTAGGATTAGGTAAAACTTTAACATAACCTAAAATCTCAAAATAAGTGTTTTATTTGTTAGGAAAACACAAGCCATTCTCAGGCCCGTACCTCAACTTTGACCCAAGTTAATGGGTTATATCAAACCCAGCGAGATTTGGTTTTGTTTAATAAATAGGGAGGCACTATTACGAGATGCGACGTTAGAACAAAGACAAGCCACCATCTTTGGTGGGAAAATTGAAGAAAAATGGAAAAAAGCGCCACAAGTCAACAACACACGTTTGACTCGATAGCAGTGATTTATCAGCTTTCAGCGCGTTCTGGCCTTATGGAAGAAATTAGTCAAACATGATTTGACTTTATTTTTAGACTCTGCTGAATCTCATGTTTTAATATTTGCGCTTCCAGTAGTGTCATTATCTAGTTTAAACAAGTAAATTTTATGTATACACAGAGATTATTGTACAAAAATAAATAAATTAATACAAATATATAAAAAAATGTAGTTCAGTATTTCCGTCAGGAAGTTGAAGAACTTATAAAAAAAATATAATATTATTTAACCTCGGTGCATCTACATCCGGACGAATGAAATTGGATACCAGAAAAAATTCAAATTTCTGGGTAAAAAAATAATAATATGAACCTTGGAAATTTCATCCCATCTCCTCGGTGAATCCACGATTTAAAATCCACAAAATAAACGTCTCCGTGTGGATTTAAAATACCAGTTTTAATTTTTACATGCATAAAAATGAAATTAATCTCGATGAGAGTGAGACAGTTTTAATAAAAAAAAAATCTGCGCTCCTTTGGTGCCCAACATTAAAGTAGCCACTCGCCTGATGGACTCGCGAAGAAAAAATATTTGCAAGATATTTTAAATTTATTCAGGACTGCAAAGAAGACGACTTTCTAATAAAAAATATGCTGTTTGTACATGGTAAACAGTGTACGGAACGACCCATTTATTATGGGTTTTAGAAAGAGCAAATCCCGCCCAAACCAGTTCTTGCGAGAATACCAACCAATGGAAGTGTTGACACTCCACAATAGATTATTATGTTCTGCAGGTTCATCCTCCAAAACAAAATGGAGAAAATTAGGGGTAGGTTGGAAAAATTAATTCTGGAAATTGGAAATAAAAAGAATTAAGTCCGTGCACAAAGTGCTAGACAAAAATTACCTAAATACGTATAAAAAAACAAGATTAACCACAGAGGACACATAGCATTGTATCTACCTACTTTAAAAAATTGGTTTTGTTCAGCAGTTACATACAGGAAAGCTAAAATTACTTCCTTCTCCCTGATAGAGACAAACCACTGAACTTTTTATTGGTCTATAATTAATTACACTCATGTGGTAATAATATTAAAAATAAAGACGAGGAAAACGTGATAAGTGGTATCACAGTAGGTACACATGTTAACACAAGTTGCCAAAAGAGCATGTGGTTCAACTTTAATAAATTATTTTAGAAAATATTGTAAGCCGGTCTTCAAAACGACAAATTCAGTCAGTTTTAATAACTTTCGCGACACATAATCCCAGCTGAAACCATAAATTTATAGTTTCAGGATGATTTCAGCGTGTTATCAGTTTTTTTCATGACAATTTTATTTGGTTGAGCGATATCTCGAACGATCGCACCGGAATAGGCAACATATGGCAAATTTACATTAATCAAATAAAATTTGCTAAGCACCATCAGAGAAAATAATTGTTCGTCAACCGCATAGATGGTCGTTAGATTTTTTTTGCCTTAAGTTCTATTACGTTACCAGAAGCCTCTCTGCCGTTGCTACCAGCGAAAAATAAAATACGTACAGTTTTCGTAGTGGTTACGGTTCCTGCTGCGATTCCTGTCGCCACAGGTTGCCCTTAACGCGTCCTTTGGTGGCGCTAGTGCTCAACAACCGCCTCCCAACGAAAAACGGAAAAGGCGTTGCCATCACCCACTTCCTCCCGGAATCACAACCTGAAGAAGCAGGATTTTTGAGCATTTGGCAGCACATTAACGTAAATAAAATAAGTTAACTTTGTGCCACGCGTCCTTTCAACCACTGCTGGTACGGGCACCCATGGCACAACACACCCTCGTCGGCGTTACGTAACCACGTGTTAAACACGCGTAAATTTTCACCAACAAACAAAAAATTGTACTTACCTACATGGAGACAAAAAACGGAAGTGTTTTATACCATCACAGGGGGTAGTTGTATTTCTACACAGTAGTTTTTCCTCATACACAAAGTGGTGTTTTTTTCTCCCCGGGAAACAACTGATGAGTGTATAATTCAAATGTAAAAACTGAAGAACTTTATAACACAAACTAAAGTTTACCGGTGGATCCACACGTAATCAGCGCAACGAGCATTTGTTTTGGCGCCCTTCAGATGAGCTCTATTTAAGAAACTATCTGTGAGGGAGGGGCGCAATCGGGTGAGTTCGTTTCGACGAATCTCCAAACGAGAGCCAAAAAAACGGGAAGGATTCTTTGGTATTTTCCCGGTTTGGAAGTGTTTTTTAATATTTAAAAAGTGAAGCAAAATTAGTAAGAAATATTCTGGAATCAAATTGATTTGACAAAATAGGCAGACTATTCTAGGAAGTAAAATATGAAAAAGTCGGTCCTCTTTTCCGCTTGTGTTGGGGTTTTTATTAAGTAGATAATCTGCGAAATTACAGGAGTGCTTAGAGTGAAATTTTTTGTTCATGTCAATATTTCGCCAAATAGAAATCTTGCTTAAAATTTATGTTGTTACATGCTTCCAGAGTATTTTAGTGAGTTGGACAATTCTTTTTTTTTTTTTTTGTTATTTTAAAAATGTTCCATTGATTTCACTAGCATTCCTCACTGGATTTATATTACAAATCAAAATGAAAATGTTTTTTCCTCACGAAAAAAATAACTGAAAATGCACCAATTGTTACAAGTTAATGAGTGTGAATAAATGTTTATGATTTTCATATTTCGTTTAGTACAGGCTGTTCATTAAAACTCTATCGATGACGTCACCACCGAGGGTCATAGCTTTATCAAAAGATGTACGGGACCATTTTGCGGTAACAATAAAAGTAAGAACGACCGATTTCTGCCACTCTGTTTTATTACCTCTTCTTGTCTTTGTTCTAACCGCAAATTTGTGCATACGTTGTCCTTTTTTAACGGTCATCGTGGCCTGATCAAATGCAAATTAGGTGGTTGCATCATGCCATTTACGAACCATTTCACCAACGCGCAATTCCAAGGTTAGGAGAAATGCAATATTTCCTTAGATCATATAATATATCATATGAATTATATGATTTAAGAGTATTTCGCGACATTTTAATGACCGTTTATCTAATTCTGGTAGTGTGTATACAGAGGCAAGGACATTAGACTCTCTTTACCTAATTATACAATAAAATTGGTCATAATTACTTTGCATGCTTATCACTTCTGTTTGTGTTAAAGTGATTTATTAAAATGTTGGGGAAATGGTTCGAAATGGCATGAAGCAAAAAAAGTTGCATTTGACTGGGTCACAGCGACCGTTAGAAAAGAACAGAACACAATCGCGATTTGCTTAGTTACAACAAAGACAAAAACAAGGTAATGGCAACGATGCACTGGAGAAAGATGGTGTGACAGGAGTCCGCCAATGACAGTAATTGGACCATCGGCCCTGGTAAAGTTCGCATACCAATAGTGTTTTTTCGTCACACATTAAAAATTGAGGATTTACAGAAGGGAGAAAATTTTCGACACTTGAGGTCCGGCGAAAACAACGGCCCATTTCGTCCAAAAATACCACATTATGTGTCGATCGCTTTACGTCGACTATATTTCGCCTCAGTGGCGTTCACATTCCATAATGAAAGCTAAAACCGTCGCCTCAACCACGTGCGATAAATTTTCTCGTTTTGTCAATGTGCAGAAGAGGGGACTCGTTGCAGTGTGTGTAGTACCGACCCTACAAGGGTTAAATATCTACAAAAAATTCTTATTTTTGGCTTCATTTTGCATGTAAACTAAGAAAACTGTTGGACCAAGAACAGATCCTTGATGTATTTTTTGCGTTGCGTGATTTTTCGGCTCCTTTAAAAAATGAAGTGTATACCAAGCCGGTGAACCTCGATATTCTGCTGCGGACCAGGGTCACAGATCGCCGAGAAGGTAAAGGAGCGGAGGACGGCAGGTTTCGACACCTCCTCGATTGTGTGTAATTCTACTAGGAGACTCAAGATCTACGCTCGTCAGCGCTTTATTTTTCCGACTGCGACGACCCGGATTTTAATATAAAATAATGAAGTAGACAAACAGACAAGGATTTCATTATTAACTAAAAATATTCACTTTACATTATCATGTGCTAAAATTTCAATTAAATATTTTTCTCTAGACCAAAATCACAGTTTTTCTTTTCTTTTTAAGTACTTCAGTTCTTGAGAAGAAAAGTTTTGTTTATTAAATTTCGTGTACCAGACATATTAATGTAGTCAGCAAAAACGCGCTCCTGTAATGTTGGTTGCCTATCCACGGACAGGTCAAGTAGGAGTGTCCATGCCACAAACCCAAATTATTTTAATTAACTTTAATCATTCCTGCAACAAGTAAAACTTACCTTTTGTAAGACAAACACCCGAGTTAGAAAACGTACGAAACCGGAAACAAGCCAACAAAAATTATTGCTACAATTAAATAAATAGTAACAAAAATGTTTGTACATCCTTAGTCACCTCTCAGGTGCGTCGACATTCGACAACCAGGTGAGTAGTGGGAGCCAACAGGTGGGGTGTTTACAGTGCGTTGTTTTGTTTGTAAACAACAATTTTACAAAATTTTGACGGTGAGTATCGATATTTGACTTCAAATACGTTATAAATCAGTGATCCTGAAGGCGCATTTACATGAACGGAAGGTCCGGCAGGCTTAAAAGTCCACACATTCGGTGGAACAACGCCTTTAAACTCACCTGTTATCGCGTTTCCGTTACTTAGTTTATCTGTATTCTGTATCTAGTATTTAGAAAGAGTGATAACGGACGCGTGTAACTGAAAACAAGTGAAATAAAAAAGAAAAACAAACATGTTAGCGAATGATAACGTATCGATTGTGTAAAAGCGACTCTAGGATACGTCTACTGACAACACATCATTTATTCAATCAATAACTGCATAATCTAGTAATTGTGGCTAAATTTTTGACTCCTTTCCAGAAAATGAGCCAAGTTTTATCAGAAAAGCGCCTCTTGATAACATACTGCGTTTGCACAGTACTGGGGGCTGTCGCAAGCATAACCACCGGCATCGCGTGGGGCCACTGGAAACTCACCCTCGACCAGTGCGTCAACGGGAAAAACTGCAGCTGTATTTTGTATGGCCAATACACCCCATCCAAATTTTTAGGTAAAACGATCCACTAATGCCACCCCAAAAAACAAACTTTGTTGTAGGTGGCAGTACCGCGCCATGCATTTGGGTCACCTTCGGCCCCCTTTTCTACCTCCTGTTCACCATTTCCATGGCCTCCTTCCACGGTTACCGGGTGTTGTTTAGTGCGCGGTTCGTCAAGACCAGAACGATAATGAGCAAAAATGAGTAAGTATAATTTCTCAAAAGTCCCTAGATTTAGTTACACATTTCACGACTTATTCCAGGGCTGGCGAAATGGTGCAAATGCGCGCTATTCAGGTGGACGACACCCACCCCCTCCCCAAGTCGTTTTGGGTCACTCTTGCCGTACTTACGTCGATTTTCACGCTCTATGCTTTAATCCACTTCGCCATTTTCGTGGACGGTTACTACACCACGTGCAACCAGTACAGGAAGGTGCTGGAGAAGATGCTGGGGGTCCACGGGACCGCTATTCCCGTGATCCACAATCGCCTGTCTTGTCAGAGCATTTTCGACTTTATGGACTACATGCAGCCGAGTAGTGGTTACGGGACCAGAGACGGTTTCATTTTCACAGGGGCGGACTTGATTATCGGGATAATCGCGGCGGGTTTTGCGTGGGTGCTTTTCGGGGTTTCGGCGTTTTTCAACATCAGGAATGCGCGGAGTCCCGCTTAAGGGGTTTACTACGCGACGAGAGTTCAAGCGACATGACCAGAGTACAAAGTTCGTAAAGAGAGCCATTTAGACAACAAATTTATTGTATGCATTTAGAAAATATAAGTTACAAAAGTGCAATTAATGTTTAAATACTACATATATAAATAAATGGAATGTTTTATATACGAACAGTGTATACAGTTTTTTATAAATAAATACTCTTTTTAACATCAACTAGTTCCTCTCTTACGCTACAAAACAAACCTACATGTCACAATAAAAGCGTTATAATTGACTCGCTATATGTAGGAAATACGGTGTTGTTAAACTTTGGCTTATTATCAACGGATTGCTAGTTTTGTAATTTGCAAATTTTGATTCTTACAAGGCACCTATTTGACGCGACTTATGTTCTCAGCCTTAAGGGACTCACTCTAGGTTACTAATCTCGACGAAGTGCCTTTAACCAGTCTTTTCACCAGAAAAAAATCATTCTTTTATATATAGCTGACCAGGAGCTGCCTTTCTAACAACCACGGTAAACACAAGGTTGGTAACAAATCACCGGTGGTGCCAACCGCACAACACAAATAACACAATAAATAGATAAACCGAGAATTAAAAGTTCAGAAAACCCTCTCACTTAAATAATTTCGTACGCCGATTTCGACTTCGACCCTCAAGAAAACGGATTTCCTATCCTCTTACCCCCAAACCTCTTATCCTCCTGCTCCGGACTCCGGAGCACCTCAAACGGCATCACAGCATGTTCGACCTCCTCGCGATCGTCGGAAGAAAAATCCTCGAAGCTCATGTTACTAAAACCCACTTGTTTCGCCTTATTTTTCACAGCTTTAATCTTCCCGGTTGCTTTCTTGTACGAAGCGGGCTTCACGATCTTCGTATTCCTCGGAAAGTTGATACTCGGACTCTCGTCGGAGACGCTCTCGTCGATCAAGTGATACTTAGACTTCCCGTCCTTCTTCTTGTCTTTCTTGGACTTGTACACCACGTCCGCCGACTCCACTTTACCTTTCCTGTCCAGACTGTAACTATTAAAGTCTGGGTTGGAAGCAGTCGGAAACCCGAACATCTGGAAATCGTTCTCGGGGAATAAATAGTTCGTCTGGGGTTTCTCCTCGATGTTCACGTTCTCGTAAATCACCTCTTTGGTATCGTTGAAGTACGGCTCCACTTCGGCGAAGTTCGACTCGAACCTCGTCACGTTGAAGAACTCGTCCTTCGCGTCTGACGGAATTTCGATGTTGATGAAGTTGGAGTTGACGGTGACCGTGGCGTAGTTCGTTTGCTGGTCGAAGTCCGAGTCTAAAAACGGGTTCAAGTTCGTCTTGTCGCTAAGCTCCGCCTCCGGCTCCTCCTCTTTCGGGCGCGGCTTGCTGAACGGCGCCATCGCGAACACGTCGTTGTCGTCCTCGAAGCTGCTCGACGGCGGTATCCACAAATCCGTCTCCTTGCTCACCCGCTTCCATTGGTTGAACTTCACCTTCACCTCGCAGTCCGAGTCCAGCTCGTCGTCCAATAACAGCGGCTTCTCGCCGTATTTGTGCCCGAACAGCATGTCCTCGTCCTGGATGGCGTTCTTCTTCGCCTCCTCGCGCAGCTTCGCCCGGATCATCCTGCTCGAGGCGTCGTCCTCGTGCGTCGCCATGCTCTCGCACTCCGCGTGGTACGCCGACGAGCCGCACGTCTTGATGCTCTCGCTCACCGTCTCGCTGACGGCGTCCCCCTTGGCGTGCTCGTGCTCCTCGTCCACCCGCAGGTCGCTCGCCGAGCCGATGGAGTCGTCGGAGTCGATGTCCACCGAGTCGGCGGCGCGCCTGCGCTTCTTCTTTTCGGCGCGGAACTTGATCGGGAGCTCCACGGTCTTGTACACCGACTGGAGCTTCTCCGGGATGGTGATCTTGCGCTTCTTCTTCGTCTTGTCGTCGTCGCTGCTCTCCGAGCTGACGTAGTTGCTCTGGGTGAGCTTCTCGTACTTGGAGCGGTCCTCCAGGGGCGCCTTGACGTACGGCGGCGACATGACCTCGGGCTCGCCGTCGGACTTGATGAGGGGCGCTTCGCCCTCCGACGAGGTCTGCTGGTGCTGGGGGGAGTAGGGGAAGGCTTCGTCGTCTTCTTTGATTTTTTGCTTGTAAACCGGCAGAACTGGAAAAGAGTAGCATGGGTTTGATCAGTGTCGGAGCGGTCCGACGCGATCGTAACAAGCCGACTTCCAACGACGCTATTTACAGCAGGCTACTGCTGGGGCTCTGTTATGGCTGTCATGAAGTGATAGTGGGCTTCCGCTGCCGAAATAGCGTTCGGAATTTTGAATGTCGAGATGTTATTACATGTTATCCCACCACCATTCTGGAACAGCCATTTTTAGAGAGGCACCAAGTAAGGACTTTCGAGGAAAGCCATTACTTGTGGAGGGAAATAAAGAGAAAGAAATAACATAAAGCAACTTTATTGCTGCATAAAATACAATAGCTGTACAAGAATTGTTATGTAAGTTGTTCTAGTTAGTAAAGACAATCACATTAACAAATATCCAGCATAGTATTTATAGTTATTTACACATACGATAAAATTTATATTGTAACGATAAAATTATGATGAGCAGAAAATAGGAGGAACGATCACTGATGAAAGAAGTAACTAAGTCTAAGTTAAATTAATATCAAGAAAAAAAGGATAAGACACGTACTTCTAAAAATGCTGTTCCAAAATTATCGCCTCAAAATTGTCAAAAATTAAAATCTAGGGTGCACTATGAAAAAACAAAATCCCTAAATGCGCCGATTTTACTTTTTCATATACGACTAAAGTATCACAGGCGGCTTCTGCCACCAAAGGTCGCTCAACTACACAACCTGGTCGCAAAAACCGAAATTTCAACACTATTTGTCACTCAGCATTCTTTCTTTCTTGATAAAATCACACTAAATCGCTAAAATAATCTCTTCATAAAGTGAGCATATATATCATAGTCGGAGAAAGTATGCCTTCTAAACAGTTTGATATGTAATAAATAAAATACTTGTACTAATAATTTAATGACATTTACTAATCGCGCCACCTTGTGACGACACACAAAAACACTATACACCAGACGTCTGTCTTAGAAAAATAGTGTTGAAAAAGTTCTTTTTCTGTCGTCTTCGCGACAACCATTGTTCTAGTTCACACATGCAAAGCTTGTGTAGTTTCAAGCAGATAAACGTAAACTCTAAAACTAAAAGCGAGCAACTGTTTTTGATGATCACAACATAGTTTTTTTTTCTCAAACATTACATACAACGAAATTACTGACTAGGAAAATGTCTTTTTTCAGTTTTTTTTTCGATTTCTTCTCTTGGAATGATAAAAAATTTAGCTATACTTTTCCTAATTACCTTTAAGTACAGTAAACTGTCTATTGCACATGGACGACTCAATATACTTACTACAGTCATGAAAGTAAAACGAAATGAAACAATTGGTCCACGCAACACAAGATTATGTCGTTGGGTTAGTGATATCACAAAAAATGGAGGACTTAACGAAATTTTTCTGGTTGTACAATGAGTGGATATTAAAGATCTTGACAACAAGATCCACTTCGAGCGCCACCTGTTGGACCGGATACACAAAAACGTCAAAGTTGCAACCGTTACCTAAAACGTCGACTGTAATATTGCACTTTCGTTAAAAAAATTAAAACTAAACTTGATAAACTTAAAACGCTTTGTATAATTATTGTTACTAAGTTTAAAACATGTTTGTTCGTATTTTGGCTAGAAAATTGAGTATTACAAACTGATAAATGTTTTTGAAAAAAGTATTGAGCTTGGAGCCTACTTTAAGTCGAAATTTTAGTTGACAATCTTTCAACATGTTTTGAGATTGATTTAGATCAAATTCATTAGTTTTGTTCGTATTTTTACACTTTGTTATTTCAATTACGTTAAATAATATATCATGTTCTTTCTAATTTCATAAAATTTCATTATTTTTGAGGTTAGCAGAATCAATTTCACCAATAACCATGAAATTCGACATAAATGCTACAGATCTAGTAGGCCAAGTTTGAAACAGAAGTGCCAACTGAAGTTTTCACGGTAAATTCTGATTCACGTTTTTTATATAAAAAAAAAACTGCTAGATGTCTCAGTACGACATCTAAAAAAAGAATTAAGACAAGTCACACCTGATAAAATTAAAATGTTGAGTTATACTTAAAATAAAATAAATAAATAAAATTATCCACAGTAAAAATAAGTCGCAGTTATTGCACACAACCAACAGATGGCGCTTCGACTATTTTTGCTTTCTAAGCAATAAATAAACCTCAACCGCTAAACAGTGCACAGTGTTGGGTTTTTAGAAAGAATTTTTTCCACAGCGAAAAAAATTTTACATATAGTTAATTTGTAGCCACCTCGACCCAATTTTTGTGCCAGCAATAAATAATCTAATCAAATTACTCAAAAAATCTTCACACTTCAAAGTTAGTAGGTAGACTAGTGACGCCTAACCCTAACCCTATTAACTACCTAACTTCGCTAATTGATAATCCAAAAAACTGTATCTTTTTTTGTTAAATCTCGAAACACCTACTACTTGGCCCATTCAACAGCGATAATTACATTGTACAGGCTTTCGTAAAACTATTATACTTGGTTTGTTTTGTTAGGATTGGTTACCTGAGAACTGAAGGTGAGTCTTGTTAACTCGATCACGTGACCTAACTGGAAGACTGAACGGAGCACAGCCGAACGGATCTTCAGACACAGACATAACCAGACTTTCCCTAGACTTGACACCTTGAATACCTGCGAAAAAAAACCAAAACGTCAAATGGAAGTCTATCGTCGAAAAAATATGTGTAGTTTTAGTGACGACATCGTTGTACTCACTACTCTGGCTCCCCCTCCGGATCTTGTCGAACTCCTCCCCGAAGATGTGGTCCTCCGTCATCTGGCTGAACGGGGGCTCCTCGAACGGATTCCAGTCGGCCACGTCCGCAGACAGCGACCTGCTGTCCGGGGCGATGGGGTGGTTGACGTCGGCGGTGGACGCCGACACCCCGGGGGGCACCATGGGCCCGCGGGCCGTCACTTCCTGCACCGGCGAGTCGCTGCTGCGCGACTTCATGGAGGACTCGTACGGGGCGAGGAACTGGGACGTCTCGGACGCGTACACTCTGAAAGTCGGATTATCACTCATACGACTGTTGAGCGTTCGAAGTGGAAGGTACATTGTAGGGACTGGTTTTGTCCCTTTGCGAGAATTGGCACGGTTTGAGGAGGAAGTGTGGCGAAGACAATGAGAGGGGAGGGGAGCGAGGAAGGATCTTGTCGCGGTGTTCGCATTCGAGAAGGGTGGGTTATTGTGCAATTGATGAAATAAATAACGACGGGATTTCGATCAATGGGTCAAGGTGAAGGGTGCTGGCAGGTGGAGTGCTGGGTTTTGTGCAAGATAATGGGTGGCGTCTGGTGGGGAAATAATTAACGTGACGAGGTTTTTATCGAGGAGAAAAAACAGATGGCTGCGAATTATGCCAATGAAAGATGATCAGGGGATTTTATTTCGATTGGAAAGATTTTATTAGTGGAGCGAGTGGTGTTCTCGACCGAAGGACTTCCCCGAAACAGCTCGTCCCGTTATATACTTGTGTTTGTGATTTTTTTGTTAGGTTGGCAACATATTTAAAATTTTATGATGGCATTTGACATTTATGACAGTCAGTTAGAGCTGCCATCATTTCAACCAATCAACGCGTTTGTGAGGCGTACTCATGTCGAAATTGACAATTATGAACTGACATATTAGTATAGCTGTCAATAATTCAGAATTGCCAACACAAAAATTTACTTCAATCATTAATTGCAATCCGATATTTTTGACCATGAAGTTTAATAAGCTAAAAGATCAATTCCATTATGAAATATTGGTGCCTATAAAAATGATTTACGTAGGAGTAACTTTATTCTGGAGTTGCATAAAAATGATTGCTTCGTGTACCTCTAATCAATCAAATTGACGACCAATAATGTACTCTCTAAATTGGGAAATAAAAATGAAAATATTAAATATACGTAATAATAAATTTTTGTTTCTCACTACAAAAAATTATGATATTTAAAAAATTACGTAGAATTGCAATTGTAAGCAATTAATTTAAATAAATGAAAAAAAAAAAATTGGTAGAAGCTTATTTAGACGGAACTTCCTTCACCCTTGAGGTAAAGCCCAATGAATCCCGCTTCTTTGAAAAATTTGGCGCAAATAACAACTCCGAAAAATCAAAAATTGGAAAAACGGGAAATTAAAAAAGCAAAAAATCTAAAAATTGGAATATATTAAAAAATCAAAAGTTCGAAAATCGAAAAATCTTTCGGAAAGTCGAAAAATCGAAAACTGAAGAATGGAAAAACTGAAAAATCGAAAATTCAAAAAATCAATTAACGAAAGTTTGAAAAATCGAGAAATCAAAAGGGAAACAAATTCACAAAAAATCCAAGGAATCAAAATATAGAAAAAACGAAATATCAAATGTCGAAAAATCGAAAAACCGAGACATCGATGAACCAAAAAATCCAGAATTACAATATCGAAAAATTGAAAAATCCAGATGTAGAAAAATTTTCAAAATTGACGTGTTGAAAAGTTTAGAAATCGCAAAGTACTAAAACGAGAAATGGAAAATTCGAAAAATTGAAATATGAATTTCAATATTAAAAAATCGTAAAATCGAAAAATGTAAGATTAAAAAAAAGCAAAAGTGAAAAATCAAAAAAACAAGAAATCGAAACATCAAAAAATGGGAAAGTCGAAAAATCGAAAAACTTAAAAGTCCAAAAATAGAAAAACCGAGAAATCCAAACACCGAACAATTAGAAAATTAAAACATCAAGAAATCGAAATAGCCCAAATTCGAAATTAAAATTTGAAAAATTAAAAAATTTAAATTTAAGAAAAAATCGAAACATTGAAATTTTGATAAATTGAAAAATAAAAAGAAAAACGATATATCGAAAATTTTAAAATTTTTATATCGATAAATCGAAAAGTCAAAGGAAAATTGAAGAATCGAAAAACTGAAAAATTCCAAAACTGGAGCAGTCGAAAAATCCGCAAATTCCAAAAAATTGAAAAATTTAAAACCTGAACAATCCAAAAAAATTAAAAAATCTGAAAATCGAAACATTGAGAAATGGGAAAATCAAAAAATCGAAACGTCGAATAATCAAAAAATCTAAAAATCTAAAATTTAGAAACGCCAAAAATTGAAATTTTGAAAAATAAAAAAATTTAAAACTCGAAAAATAGAAAAATCGAAAAATCGAAAATTTGATCAATCGAGAAATTGAAGAATCCAAAAATCGAAAAATTCAAAAATTATTGAGGAGTTGAAAAACCGAAAAATTTAAAAACCGAAAAATTTAAAAATTGAAAAATGCAAAATTAAAAAAAAAACATTGAAAAATCTAAATCCTGAAAAAAACTAGAAATCGAAAAATCTAAAATTTAAGAAGTCAAAAAATTGTCCAATCGATAAATCAAAAAATTGAAAAATCGAAAACTGAAAAATCCCAAAACTGAAACATTGAAAAATCGAGAAATCGAAAAGTCGAAAAATTGCAAATTCTAAAAATTGAAAAATTAAATACCTGAACAACCAAAAAATTGAGAAATGGGAAAATCAAAATATCAAAAAATCGAAAAGTCGAATATTCAAAAAATCGAAAATTTAGAAATGCCAACAATAAATATTGCAAAATCAAAAAAATTAAAAATCGAAAATTTGAATAATCCAGAAATTGAAGAATCCAAAAATTGAAAAACTCCAAAAAAATGTAAAAACTTCAAAAATTGAAAAACTCCAAAAATGAAATATCGAAAAATTGAAAAACGAGAAGTTTAATATAAAATTGGGGAATTCAAAAATCGAAAAATTTAAAAAAAGAAAAATTGAAAAATGCATAATATAAAAAACGAAAAATTCATAAATCGAAAAAACTGAAAAATCAATAAAAAAATAAGAAATCAAAAAATTTAAAATTTCAAAGTCAAAAAGTTAATCAATCGAGAAATCGAAAAATTGAAAAATAGAAGAAAAAATTTAAGATGAAAAACTAAAAAATCGCAAAACTAAATCATTGAAAGAAAAATCGAGAATTCGAAAAATTAAAAAAATGAAGAATTGAAAATCTAAAAATTGAGAAACGGGAAAATCAAAATATCAAAAAATCGAAAATTTAGAAACGTCAAAAACCGAAATACTGAAAACTCAAAAAATTTAAAAAACGAAAAATTGAATCGACTAATTGAAAAATGGGAAAATAAAATCTAAAAATCTAAAATTTGAATAATCGAGAAATGTAAGAATCCAAAAATTGAAAAATCCGAAAAATTAAACAAATTTAAAAACGAGAAGTTTGAAAATTAGAAAATCGATAAATCGAAACATCAAAAAGCCGAAAAATTGAAAATTCGAAAAATTTAGGACACCAGAATGTGTACACTTTCGTTTTTTTTTTTAAATCTCAACACGGATTCAAAACCACAAGTGCAGGAGCAATAATAATAATAGTTACTAACGTTAATTTTGGAAATGACGTCATCAGATTATTGATGGGGATGATTAGGCAAATTTTGGTTAGTTTTTACCATCTACACGATAATTCCAATAGGCGTATAAAATTTGACAACGATCCGTCCAATAGTTTCGGAGATTATTATCCGCCTAATAAAAATTTGACAGGTAGACAGACAAACAGACGGAAACGGGAGACCTATTTTTCATACTCTAGAGGTCATGAAACGTCGAGAAAACATAAAACTAGCCAGTCGCCCCATGGATTCGATTCTAATACTTCAATAACTTACACTCGGGAAATAAAAATATTTAAAAAACCTACTTGTTAAAAGCCGTCGTGTCGCTCATATTCCGCCGATGCCCCTTCGGCACCGCCAACGTAGGCGTAGACGGCGGCGTCATCGTGGCCCCCACGTAGTTACTCGACTCCGTCATCCCCGTCGGCTGGCCGCCCATCTGGCTCAGATTCCCCGACCCGAACAGCGGATTCTCCGGCGACACCGGCGAAATCACAGCCGCCGCCGCCGCCGCCCCCTGCACCGCGAATCCCTCCTGCTTGTTCCCGTTAGCACCGTCGCCGGCGCCCGCGTTCGTGGGTGACTCCGCGGCGCCGTCATCTCGGAACGGATCAGGATAAATGGAAGACTGGAACAGGGAATCTAGCTGTTGCTTGTTGGCCGGCTCTGGATTGGTAGGCGGGAAAAACGACGGCTGGTAGTCTGGCGCCGCGGTCGCGGCGCTCTGAAAACCGGAAGGGTACGTGACGTTGCTCTGGAAATTAGGTTGGGCTACGGGACTCTGGGATTTCTTACTAGTTGTGGGGCTGGGGCTGAGGGTCAGAGGGATGTTGTTCAGGTTGAGAGGGGTCGTCGAGCTGCCTTTGGGCCGCTGGCGGGGCATCACACTGGTGCCTTCGACCACGGGGGCTGCGGGCGCCTTGTTGTACACCTTGACTTGGGCCTTCTTGAGCTCGGACTCGAAGGGCGGCACGGGGAGCTCGTCCAGGGTGGGGAGTGGCGACTTCTGCAAGCATTTTTCAAGCGAATTAGTAAACTGGAAGAGTTTAAAACTTTGACAGGTTTGACACTGTTGACATTTGTTGCCAACCTTTTTTTGGGTGATTAATAAATAAATTAGTCGACGTGTCCAATCTTGCGTGTTATTTAAATAAAAATGGCCGACAATTCTTTTTGTGATTAAATTCACATAACAAATTAATGCGATTTGATAATGTCCAAATCACACAATTAATTTCCAAAATTTCGACGACAATTTCGTGGACTGGAGGACCGCGCAAGCTTTGACACTGTTGACACTTGCGTCCGCCACCTTGATTTATCGTTCACGATCGACAACTACTCAATAATTGTTTATTTTCCTCACCATTAGGTTCTTCACAGGATTATCCTTCGACAGCAACTGGAATGCGACGCAACTGACTTGAAAAATGTCGGGCCTCTTATCAGGATCTGGCTCCAACATATAACCTAACAAACACTTTTATTTACACAGGGATATCATAAATAACAATGAGACTTACGCATCAGCTGGTGCAAACCCTTCGAATACTTCGAATTATCAGGAATACTAAAATTTCCGCTCTGAATCGCGAGCGTACTCTCCCCAAACGGCAAAGTAAAAAAGCATAACCTATACAATAAACAGCCAAGGGCCTGGAACACCACCATGTAAACCCCCACACGGAAATACACAACGCGCGACATACCCAAATATCAGCTTTCGTAGTTATCGGTTTGCCACAGTACATGTCCACCATTTCCGGAGACCTGTAGCTCAAAGTCGTGTATTTTTTGATCTCTTCTTCGACGCAAGCGACCCCCTTGTCGGCGGGGTTCAACACCTTCGCTGTGGCTGACCCAAAATCACATATCACGTAGTTACCATTTTCGCCTACCAAAATATTTTCTACCTGGAAGGAGAGACATCTTTCGTTTTTCCAATTTTTCCTTTCTTCAGGTTTTCAAATTTTTGATTTCCAATTTTTAGATTTTTCAAAGTCAACATTATGTTTACATACGTCTCGTTTTTTTAAAAAAACAATCGATTTGAAAATTGTAAAAATTTTAAAATTATAGAATGGTCAAAACTGTAAAGTTGAAAAAACAAAAAAAAAAATGGAAATGAAAAAAATTGAAAAATTAATTCAAAATTGAAAACTCGTGAAAGGGTAAAAGGAAAAATTGCAAAATTTAAAAACTGAAACAACCAAAAGTTGAAAAATCGAAAAACTGAAGAAACAAAAACATGAAAAATTTAACTAGAAAAAGGTAACACAAAAATAAGTGTTAATTAGTAGCATTTCAGGAGATGACGTCATCAGCTTCGTGGGCGAGATGAGTACATACATTTTCTCAATCCCCTCAGCGCTCATTCATTTATGCCAACCTTAATCTCATAAAACCACTAATAACTCTAAACCAGACTGACCTTTAAATCACGATGAATTATTGGAGTTTTGCAATGATGTAATCGTGACACGGCCTCACATGTATCACAGAAAATAGTCAGAACTTCGTGTTCCGTAAAATTCGCTTTGCCACGCTGCTTCATAAGACCAAAGACGTTTTCTTGACAATAAGGCATGAGCAACAGGACTTCGTACACGCCGCCCCCTGTCGCCGTCAGACTGGAGTCCACGTAGCCGATGATGTTCTTGTGGCCACTGAGACTGCTCTGGAATGGCGATCATAGAACAATTCCGGACTAAATAAAGCGGACTTACGGCTATTTGAATTTCACGTTTCGCAACATTGAGATCTTGTTCGTTATTGACGTACATGCGTTTGAGTGCGTAGCGTGTCCCATTATTGCTCCTGACTAAGTATACTATTGCAAAACCACCTAAATGGAGGGAATGGGTGAGTTATTGATCAGAAAGGGGGCGTATGAGCCCTCTATCAATTACCTTCTGCCAGAATGTCCTCCACCGTTACCGTCTGACGCCCCACCGTGAAGACTTTACCTACATAATTATTTACTTCCCTCGAAGTGGTTTCTATTTTAGTTTCGATTTTAGAAAAGAGTTTTTTCATTGTGATTGACACTTAATTGGAAATTATGACACATTGAGTTTTCTTCTTAATGAATGTTTACACCTCATCAATTTAACGGTTCGACACGGTTCACGCAATTTACTTCCAATTTATTACTTTATGAAATAAACTATTTTTATTAATTGATTAAAATAATTGTCCGCATAGTAGTGTTAGTGACGTTTAAGAAAATGACGTTAGTCTGACAACTGACACGACAATTGACAGTCGATGGCTTTACGCCATTGCCACACTTCACCAACTGTCGCACTTCAAACAAAACAAAAAATCAACAACCGACAAGACACCCACTTACACTACGCATCGTCATTGTCGCTACAACTGAATCACGTTTTGTTTATATTTGTATTAAATAAGTTTACATTTTTTAACGAAGTTGCACAATCTGACACGTACGCCGCTCGACAATCTCCGGCTATCCTCGCCACTCGTCTATTTTTGTCAGGTCGATAAAAAATGGCTTGTGTGTTGTGGGATTTTTTCACCCAAAATATATAAAAATGACTTTCCAGTTCAACAATCAAGCCCTAGGTATTTCTCGAAGCTACCGAAATATTTTTTCACCGACTTTTAATTTATTTTAAGGCAATGGGGCCATAATGCCCGCTGGAGGACAATCAGCTTTTGTGCCATCAGACCCCAGCGAATTCACGATTTTTTCAGCTGGTCTGAACGATTCGCCTTTGGAGTTTAACATGAACAAGAATAAGACGCCGATGGCGAGGTCCGGGGACGACAAGGATGACGCCAGTTTGAGCCCCACGGACAAGAGGGATAGGCGTCGGGTGGACAGAAGGGACAGGGACAGGAGGGACACGGAGAAGTCGAGGGACGACTCGGACTCGAACATGTCCAGCTCGCAGGACGTCATCCCCATCCAGAACGGGTCTGGACTGGGACCCAACATGTGGGGCGGAATGATGGGTGAGTCGGTAGTATGTGGGATGTTATAAATTATAAACAAGAACATTATTATTTAGCAAATCTAGGGAGTTGTTTTCATGAAATGTTTAGTTTCTATGTACATTAATTAGCATATAGCCTTCAAAAACCCATTTTTTTCTCGTTATTGTGGTATTTTAATTAACCGTGATAAAATTCCAAGTGGTGATATACATGTTATGAATGTCACATAGTTATGGTAATGTTATGTAGAAATCGAATTATGACTAAGTTAGTGTGTACATGCAACCAACAATACACCAAAAGTGTGTCTGTTTACCCACACCTGCTGCAATCTGACCGCGCGTTGACCCCTCCAGGTATGGGCTACCCCATGGTGGGCATGAACATGATCATGGACCCGAACATGATCTCGATGAACAACTACGGCATGATGCCGCCCATGATGGCCCCCGACCCCAACATGATGACCCCCGACCCCAACATGCTCATCAACCCGGTGAAGGAGATCATCCACTGCAAGTCGTGCACGCTGTTCCCGCCCAACCCCAACGCGCCGCCGCCCACGACGCGGGAGCGGCCGCCGGGGTGCAGGACCGTCTTCGTGGGCGGCCTCCCCGAGAACATGACCGAGGAGATCATCACCGAGGTGTTCGAGAGGTGCGGCGAGATCACCACGCTAAGACTGAGCAAGAAGAATTTTTGCCACATTCGGTTCGTGTACGAGGCGTCGGTGGACGCCGCCATTTTCCTATCGGGGTACAGGATCAGAATCGGGTCGAACAGCGATACGCCGAACACGGGGCGGCTGCATGTGGATTACGCCCAGGTAAGGGTAAGGAAAGTTAAGTTTTAAGTTAAGTCAAGTTAGCAATCACTTTAAGTCATTTTGTCAAATGTCGTACATGGAAGGTTAGGTTACGTAACTTTTGATGCGTTTTTATTTCTCTGAAGGCCAGAGACGACCAATACGAGTGGGAATGTCGACAGCGGCAACTGCAGAGAGAGCAAAGACACCGGGAGAGAATGGAGGAGGAGCGATTAAGGCCCCCGTCGCCGCCTCCCGTCGTCCATTACACCGACCATGAGGCCATAGCAATAGCTGAGAAAATCAAACAAGACGATACTTTTACGAAAGCTGTGCTGGTAGGACGTCAATTGTTTTGGAGATTCTCTGGTAATTAATGTTATTAAAGGTGGTTATCACGTGGTTGGAGCGCGGCGATTGCAATAAGCGGAACGCGAATAATTTTTATTCGATGATTCAGTCGACGAATTCGCACGTTAGAAGGTTGCTCAACGAGAAGTCTCAGTACGAGGAAGAACTGAAGAAGGCGAAAGAAATAATGAAAGGGCGAATGCAGGGGATTTTATTGCAATGTAAGTAGGATTTTTTTTACTTAGTCAAATTCAGCAAGTTTTAGTAAGTATACGAATAGATCAGGGATTTGTGCGACACTTCGTTACGAAGGTGTACTGCACAGTTAATCATTGGTGTATAGGAAGTTGGTAAATGTGTCTACTAGAAGGTGGCTTTTTTGGCTACTTGAGTAGCTCTGAAAAACTATTTCTCGTGGTTAGAAGTTGAAATTAAAATTAGTTGGTTGCAAAAGTTGAAAAGATTTCGAAAAAAATTATTCTGGAGACGGCAAATTAGGAATTTTGAAGTTTTGAAGTCGTTAAGTTTTGATTTTTTTATATTGAATACTGGGATTTATATGTCTTGATTTTATTAAAAAGCTGAAAAATATGGCGTTAAAAATTTTTAAATTCAAGTTAGGTAATTTTGAAAATTACGCCAGAATGATACTTTTGAACCTAAAAAAAATTCAAAGGAACTCAAAAACAACTGATTGTAGTCAAATCTGCCACACATTTTCACCATCTTTGTTTTGATTTAATCAAGGATGATTGACTACTTTCAAGTTTTCTGCACGTTTCGTGGCTCCAAGAGTACGAAAAAATTGGTCACCCGTTTCTTTCTCTCCGTCATAGTAAATTTTATAAAATACTGTGGTTTATGAAACCCTCTTTACTTTTTACCAACTTCTCGGTTTTAGATTTTTCAATTTGAAAGTCCCGTTCCCCTGTAATTGGGCCTCCGTGCCTGTTGGGGGACGTAATTAAATAAAATAAAATAAAATACAATAAAAAATAAATACATTTTTCGAATTATAAAATGTTTGATTTTGCGATTTTTCAACTTTTTGGTTTTTAAATTTTTCGATTTTTCAGTTTTTCAATTTTTCTTTCAGTTGTTGTCTTTTAAATTTCTGAATTTTTCCATTTTTCGATACATATTTCAGTTTTTCAACTTTTCAATTTTTCAATTTTTAAATTTTAGATTTTTCGATTTAGCGTTTTTTTTTAATTTTAAAATTTTCAATTTTTCTCTTTCCGATTTTGAGCCGTTTCGATTTCTCAATTTTTTGATTTTTCGATTTCCCGGTTTTTCGGCTTTTCGATTTTTCGATGTTCCAATTTTTTAAATTTTCGTCATTTCAGTTTTGGAGTTGTTCAGTTTCTCGATTTGTCAGTTTTTTGATTCTTCAATTTTCCGATTTTTCAAGTTCTTGATTTTTTTAAATTTTGGATTTTTCGATTTCTGGGTTTTTCATTTTTTTTTTTTTCTATTTTTCGGCGTTTCGATTTTTAAATTTAAGGGTTTTCAATTTTTCATGTTTTTGATGTTTAAATAGAATTTTTCGATTTCCCAACTTCGTTATTTCAGTTTTGAAAATTTTCAATTTCTTGGTTTTCAATTTTCCATTTTTTGGATGTTTCGGTTTCTCGATTTTTCAACTTTTCAGCTTTTCGATTTTCAATTTTTCGATTGGGAAATAGAATTTTTCGATTTCCCAACTTCATTATTTCAGTTTTGGATTTTTTAAATTTCTCGGTTTTTCAGTTTTTCAATTCCTCAATTTTTCGATTTTAAAGTTCTAAATTTTTCAGTTTTTCGATTTTTTGATGTTTCGATTTCTCGATTTTTCAATTTTACGATTTAATGTTTCAATTTTTTTCATTTTGCATTTTTCGATTTCTCGATTTTTCGAATTTTTCGATTTTTTAAATTTCACATTTCTCGTATTTTCAATTTTTTGATTCGATTTTTAATTTCCCGATTTTTCAATTTTTCGGTTTCTCAATTTTTCGTCATTTCAGTTTCTCAATTTTTCAGTTTTTTTATTCAATTTTCCTATTTTTCAAATTTTGGATTTTTCGATTTCTCGGTTTCTCGATTTTTCAGTTTTTTAATTCAATTTTCCTATTTTTCAAATTTTGGATTTTTCGATTTAGCGTTGTTTTTTTATTAAATTTTAAAATTTTCAATTTTTCTCTTTCCGATTTTGAGCCGTTTCGATTTCTCAATTTTTTGATTTTTCGATTTCCCGGTTTTTCGACTTTTCGGCTTTTCGATTTTTCGATGTTCCTATTTTTTAAATTTTCGTCATTTCAGTTTTTTGATTCTTCAATTTTTCGATTTCTCGGTTTTTCAATTTTTTTTTCTACTTTTCGGCGTTTCGATTTTTAAATTTCAGGGTTTTCAATTTTTCATGTTTTTGTTCAGTTTTGGATTTTTTAAATTTCTCGGGTTTTTCAGCTTTTCAATTCCTCAATTTTTCGATTTTAAAGTTCTAAATTTTTGAGTTTTTCGATTTTTTGATGTTTCGATTTCTCGATTTTTCAATTTTTCGATTTAATGTTTCAATTTTTTTAATTTTACATTTTTCGATTTCTCGATTTTTCGAATTTTTCGATTCGATTTTTAATTTCCCGATTTTTCAATTTTTCGCTTTCTCAATTTTTCGTCATTTCAGTTTCTCGATTTTTCAGTTTTTTTATTCAATTTTCCTATTTTTCAAATTTTGGATTTTTCGATTTCTCGGTTTTTCGATTTTTTTTTTTTTTTCTATTTTGCAGCGTTTCGATTTATTCCTAGATTTTTCAACTTTTCGGCTTGTCGATTTCAATTTTTAGATATTCCGATTTTTCAGTTTTTCGATTTCCCAGTTTTTTGTTATTTCAGTTTTTGAATTTTTAAGTTTCAGATTTTTCAATTTTTCGATTTTTAAAATTTTACATTTTTCTATTTAAAAATTTTTTTCACTGTTCGAATTTTAGATTTTCCGGTTTTTTAAGTTTTCCATTTCTCAATTTTTCCATTTTTCGACTATTCGATTTCTCGATGTTTCAGTGTTTCAATTTTTCGACTTATCGGCTTTTTATTTTTGAAAGTTAGATTGCTAAATTTTTCGAAATTTTAATTTTTCAATTTTTTTAATTTTAAACAGCGATTTATTGTTTTTTTTTTAATTTAAAATTTTTCTATTTCGGATTTTGGACCCTTTTGATTTCCCAATTTTTTGATTATTCGATTTCTCAGTTTTTCGTTTTTTCCGCTGTTTGGCTTTTCAATTTTCCTATTTTTTGATGTTACTATTTTTCAATTTTTCGTTTTCCCAATTATTCGTCATTTCAGTTTTGGAGTTTTTCGGTTTCCAAATTTTTCAGTTTTTTGATTCTTTAGTTTTCCGATTTTTCAATTTTTTGATTTCCCAAATTCGTTATTTCAGTTCTGGAATTTTTTAATTTCTTGGGTTTTCAGTTTTTCATTCTTAAATTTTTCGATTCTTTAAATTTCACATTTTCCGATTTTTCAATGTTTCGCTTTCCCAATTTTTGGTCACTTCAGTTTTGGGGTTTTTCAATTTTTTTGATTTTTCGATTTTTAAATTTCAGGGTTTTCGAATTTTCATTTTTTTTATGTTTCGATTTCTTGATGTTTCAATTTTTCGGTTTTCGATTTTTTGATTTTTCGATTTCTCAATTTTTCAATTTTATAATATTTTAATGTTGCAATTCACAATTTTTCGTCATTTTAGTTTCTCGATTTTTCAATTTTTTAATTTTTTTAGATTTTGGATTTCCCGGTTTTTCGATTTTTTTCTAGTTTTCAGTGTTTTCAATTTTTCATGTTTTTTTTATGTTTCGATTTCTCAATTTTTCAAGTTTTTGACTTTTTGATTTTTCAATTTTTCGATGTTCAAATTTTTCAGTTTTTGGATTTCTCAGTTTTTTTTTTTCATTATTTCAATCTTGGAATTCTTTCATTTCGCGGTTTTTCAATTTTTCGATTTTTTGTTTTTTCGAATTTTAAAATCTTACATTTTTTGATTTAAAAACATTTTTTCGCTATTTTAGATTTCAAGGTTTCTCAAGTTTTCGACTTCTCAGTTTTTCAACATTTCAATTTTAGTAATTTTTCAATTTCTGGACTTTTCCGTTTTTCGATTTTTTAATGTTTGATTGCTCGATCTTTCGACTTTTCGGATTCCGAGATTCCAATTTTTCGATTATTTACGCCTCTGGACTGCACTTTAAGGGCGATGGAAGTTCTGTCGAAATAACCTTCAACCAATTTTGTGTATTTTAAATTCACAGTATTTCTTTATTGAATTTTATTAAATAATACTCCAACATGAGTACGGATCGCTCAAAAATTACTAAAAAATTCAGGGGGCTGCGGAGATATTTGATCGCGTTTTTCAAATTCAACGGGACATAACTCCAAAATTATACATCCTTACGCTTGAGCCAAATTTTTATATTTTTTAAAATTAATTGTTTAGGTGTCCCAAAAAATAAATATAAGAACTGAAGTATACATATATGTAGATTTTTCAGCTACTGCAGCTAAAGAAGCCCTAGTCTATGGTCATATACATAGTGGTTGTTAAAAAAAAAAGATAATTAAAGATATGTCATGTATTGTGGCTATAGGACTGTATAAGGAAAGTTTATTGTAGTAGACATATTTATGTGTACATTCTTACCATTAACCAAAATCTAGTTGTAATCGCTAAATTGCTGGTCGTTAGCAAATATTGTTACGATGTGATTAAATTACATGTCTCCGGAGCCTCTCGGCTCCTGTAACACAGGGATTTGCAAGACCAAACCGATTTAATCACGCACATGCAATGTTTTGTACCAATGGTAAAGTATCATATCTCATATACTGTACCCGCTCCGAGCCTAGAAGATCCCCCCTGTATACCTGGGTCAATCGGACGTCTGGATACAGTATAATGTAACTTTAGTATGGTCATCATGGTTCTGTGGTTTAATTTATATTTGCGTGTGCCTGTTAGTCAGTCAAATTGAGCGATTGTTCGTGGCGGCCTGTCACAAGAAGGTTTGGGACCATTTCACCAAAGCTCAAAGAAAGAATATTGAGACTTGGAAAAAGCTGTCTATGGTACGTACCACCTTGGACCTCACAGAGCCGGTTTCCGGGCGCTGCGTCGCGCACTAAGCCGCCGCCTAACCGTTTTGTCTCGTCCAAGGTTTGCATGCAAATAGGATATAGTTTCTTGTTTTTCCTACTAATGTCGATTGTGTTATGATCGCGAGATTCGTAAAAATTTTTGTTGTTTTGCGAAGGTAAGTCCAGGTAAGTTCGAAAGAGAACCGAACCAACGAACGAGGAGGACCAGCCGAATCATTCATTTTTTCCTGATTTCTCATTGGACGGTTTCGATGCGGTGGATGGGGCAATTTTGGTTTCGCGACTGGAGGGTGGAGCGTAGGTGAGATCGAATTTTGTACATAGTATGGCCAGGAACCGGGTCTTAAACTTTGGACGCATTTTGCGGTAGGTACAGGAGGCGGCGACGAAATACGAGTAGAGATTGTAGGCGGTCGTTCGAGAGAGGTTCTATCAAAATTGCAGACTTGCATTCAGTTTTTTCAGGAACAGGTAAAAATGTGTACGAGGTCGAGATGAATTCGTAATTTTGGAAGCGGTTTGTTTGCTGACACAGATGTGGGGGCGGCGGTCGACGATCACAAATAACTAACCGAATATCGTTTGAATTGACCAGAACCCAGCTTTGTCAGTAACTTCGTTCTTTCATAACTCAAAAAACCACCCCGAACCCACGAAATAAAAATCGTAGAAACCCGGTAAATTCGCAAAGGTTAGTGCATTCCTCCAAAGTAGTTTTCCGATCCGGATATGGCATTTTCAAACACCCCATGGTAAGTTAATCAAAACGTAAAACCAAAGTTGTCCTTTCCACCACCATGCTCTCGTCTCTAAAATCTTTGTGAAAATGCACTGTATAAGTCTACAGTTTTCTGTTTGAAATTGCATAATTTTGTTTTGTGTACGTAGTTTGCCCCCCGAGCGCTCCTCCCCCAGAAAATAACGACCGATGTGTTTATAGGAAATCAAAAACGTACAGTTGGATGAACCCGCCACCGACAAAGCCGACGACGAAATGGACGTCTCGGACGAAGACGAACCGCCGAAGAAGAAGCACCGGAGCGAGGCGGGGGCGGAGGAGAGGAACAATCTGAAGGACGAGAACGAGAGCCTGCGCTGTCAGATGGAAGCGTACAAGAACGAGGTAATCAGAGAACGATTTTTACGTCTATCTGATGTTTGAGGTTCCAGGTGGAAGTGTTAAAAGTCGACTACAAGAAGGACTTGGACGACAAAGACAAGCAGTTCAAGATGCTGCAGCAAACCCTACAGGGAATGCAGCAGCAGCTCATTGAAGCGAAACGGAGACAAACTGACGAAGAGGCACGAGTCAAAGAGCTTCAACTTAAAATCAAACAATTGGAGACTAAGCAGTCTTGTGATAAAGATGTGATAACGCTCGACGATAGTGAGAGCAATCAGGCCGAAAGTACGACGACGTCGGAGTCCTCTCCGGATATTCAGAGGATCAACGAATGCGATGCGAAGTTGGTTGGTATCATTTCGGCGTTTTTGAACGTGCATCCGTTTGGCGCCGGTTTGGATTACATTTGGTCGTATGTTAGCAAGTTGGAGACGAATTTGAGGCCCGCGGACATCGAAACGTTGATGAATAGGTTTCCGACGGTTTTTAAACAAGAGTTGGTCGGGATTGGGGCCAACATCGAACGGAGGTGGATATTCAACGCGTACAATTCCTCGAACCCTAATAACGTTAGTAGTTAGGATTTTATCCACGTGGAGCGTGATTTTGATCCGAGTGGAACTTGCCCAGTATGAATTTATTTATTTATAGCAAATAAACTAGTGTTATGGCGATGTTTCAACGTGTTTTATTATTTACCCTTGAGTAACATAAACGTCCAGTTCCATTTGATCATAACCATTTATTGTCGAAAACATACATAAATATAACATTTCTTCTAAACTAGATTTGGTAACTTGATATACGTGAAAATAAAATCCCATTTGAACTACGGTGACACTCATCCCTCACACATTCTCTTATTGTATAAACAAATAAAGTTTTATCATAATAAAATCTTTTCTTTTTTGGCATACATAGCTTAAAACATCACACACTGGTATATTATACATTATTTATATTTACCCAAATCTCGCCCCACAATTCCCGCACCTCTTCTCTTTAAGCAACAAGCAGCACAATATTCCAGCCGGAAAGAATAAAATTGCGCACAGTAACCCTAAGCATGTAAAATCATCTTCGAGAACCCCGATCCGGCACGCCGGACAAGCCCCCACGATTATAACCTCGGTTTCCGGGACGATAATCGTGGTCTGAGCTGTGGCTCCATACGAAGGGGGGCATGGTGCGTACTGCTGGAATGGCGGAGGTGGGGGATGATAGTTGTACTGTTGCGGAGGGGGCTGATGAACACCTGCGGAAACGTGTTACGAAAAATTGTGTAAACATTGGCGTTTTACCTGGATAGGGGGCAGTCGCAGAGTACGGCGGAGGCGGTTCTTTGTTCATGATTTTAATACGAGGTCAAAGCTAGAATGTCTTGTTTTGTACGATTTTGTAATTTTATCAACAAGAGTTTATAAATAATGTATATTAAACGATAACGATAAAATATTATACTCGAGTCATATTTTTGACAACTGACGTTGTTGACAGAACGTCAACTATTACAGGTTCCTGTAACTAATATTAGCGTTTGTTATATAGTTAATTAATTAATAAGATATGGAAATTTTGATTAAATGGTACCGTAGAACACTAGACGACAGGCAAATTTGAATTATATCTAACCAGCAATTCTTCCCAAAAATTTTTACTTGGCTGTTCGGTCTGTAAGGTTAAATATCATCGCGCTCCTAGCGGCAAGACCCTGAACTAACGATTCAAACCGTTTTGAATTCAAACCCACCTTTTTCAATAACTGTTCGTCGTTATTAAAAACTCTGGTAAGAACTGTATCACTAATTTTCCACTAATACTCCCCTTTAAAATCACTACACTACAGTTTGATGTATAACGTCCAGTGAGTGACGTCACAGTAGATCAGTAACGAAACTTCAGCAATATTTGCGGAACGGGTGTGACCTTGGGAGCCCGTTCCCGGGAAACACGAAGATTCAAATATTTCGTAGCATTCCTATGTGATTCATATAATACATACTAATAATTGTACACATAAATAAAAATGGGTGGCATGTATTAGCGACATTGGCCATTTTTTTCTTTCTTATAAATTATTAATATATTCAAGCAAAACATTTTTATTCAATTTTGACGTTTTAAACTGCGTTTATTAAATCCTTAACAAGTCTGACAAATAAGTTGTTAATATCCCCAAGTGAATTGCAAAATTTTTAATTCACTCTTAATATTTTTAAACCACTCACAAAAAAATAAAAAACCACTTCAGGAACATAAACATTTTGCTTATTACTTTTAATAGTTTTCACAGAATACAATTTGTTCACAATTTTCACTAAAAGGTTGCTGCAACTAAATCAGTACTGTTTGACAATTTGTTTGGCTCTGTGAACCGTCAATTTGGGAATTGTATAAATCCCACACCATTAGAATTCCAAAGAACGTTTCGTAAAATAATTATCTACAGATTATTTCGATAAATATGCAAGAACCAACTGTGAAACACTATTTTATTTGAAATGAAAAATTTGCTAAGGTGTTCTTTTAAACAAACTTCCACTACACATCTCCCCTGTATTCCAGCCTCTTCAACAATCATTAAGTGATGTGAGTTACCGGAAACACAACTGTTTATGGTATGTTTGTGGATACTCATTAATACGAAAATTCTTACACCACCACTTCTGCGAAGTTTGTTGTGAACTTTGCACATTCTTACGAAGTGGTACATCCTGTTTTAATTGAGTGACATTTTAAAGTCTTCAATGAAGATGTGATTTTTGGCGATTTAATGATACCACCTAAACATTTTGCAGTTTATACTCCGATGGGTAATACATTTTATGAGTTTTTCCCAATTTATGCACCGTAGTCGTTAACTGGTTTGCGGCTAAAAAACGAACCATACAAAAATACCATTCCACCACCCCTGCAAAGACTTTCCTCTTGATTACCTCGTTTCAGTTTTTATTAGTTAGAATTTTTTACACACTAAAATTTAAAAATAAATCTTGGACCGCTCAAACACGCACACATCGAAAATTAAACTATTTCGTTTAACCTGCAGTTTGTTGACCTCTTTAGCCTGGAATTTTCTAGTATTTTTTACATGTATCGTAAGTATCTATTACTTTGTTAAAATAAATTTTACGTTTGTTTTTAACCTTATAACCCAACATCCCGTATGATCCCGTAATTAATATGACATTTCTTGTTGACAAAACCAGACAAAACGTTCACCAAAAACCTTAAAATGAAAAAGAAACTGTGTTCTTCAAGGTCGGAGCACCTTTAGTGACGCTAGTGACCTCTTTATGTCGTTCCGTAAGCTCCCCATGTATTTCTCGTCGCCTGCGTTGACAGTTGCGCTGATAAAGCCTGCCGAATAGCCACCTTTGACAGATAATCCAGTAGTTACTTTCGACGCCATTTTCCTTCTGAGGGCGCTAGTTATCCTTGAATGACAGTTCAAATTTGAATTTGACACATTTGTTTGTATATGTAATTTTCGTAATTTTGAACTAATAAAATACGATTCAAATGCATTGTTGTATACCATCCTGTTCAAACAGTGATTCAAATGTTACCTACCACGAGTTTCCAACGCAGAAGCAGAGGTTTTCTGCGTGGATAAAAAGTATCACTCTTGGGGAAAATTTGAAAGGTTTGCATTCTTTAACTATTAAAAAATAAATAAAATTCTTGATATAACGTAACAATGAACGTTAATTTCATTTAAGAAAACTTTGAACCTCCTTCGGAGAGGCCAAAAGTCTGTATTCTTCATTTTAATAAAAAATATTTTTTCTACGATTCTGTGGGTAGATGCAGGCTAAAAAGCCATGCAGTTCCCCAGTTTAACAAAGGTGTAAGAGAGAGGTGTACGAAGGTGTGTAACTGATTAACCGAAACCATTTTCATCAATCAATAATAATCAATGAAAAACTTCACCAACAATCCTAAACCTACACGGAACATCATAAACCAACAATTTCTTCTGTACATTCAAATTGGTCAACTGTCAACGAAGGATAACTAGCGCCCTCAGCAAAATGTGTCAACGCAGGCGACGGTATTTCTTATGGAATCAGCTGAGACTTTCATAGCCCTGGTGACGTACTTTCAACTATTAGATAAATTTATTGGCGTCTCTAGTAACGTTTAAAATACAGTAAAAATATAAACTACTTCTTCTTCTTCTTCCCCCCCTTTTCTTTCCCCTTCTTCTCTTTCTTCGGCGGAGCGGGTTCGACGGGGGGCTCCGGCGGCGGCGGCTCCACCGGCTCCTCGTCTATTTCCGCTATCATCTCCGGCTCCTCCGGAAACTCTTCTGGCGGTGGCGCCGTTTCCGCCTCGATGCAAAGATAAAACTCCGCCTCTGCTTGCTTAACACTGCTGTCGAAGAACGCATCCACTGGTATTTCTTCACCCGGTTCCTCCTCTCCTTCCGCTGCTTCCTGTGTCGGTTCTTCAACTAACGCAACGCCGCTTCTGGCTTTCAGTTTCAGCCGGATTTCTCGGTTGCGTGCTTCCAGGATCTTCTCGCGTTTGCTTTCGCGCTCGAACATCTGAAAAACGTGAATTTTTTAAGCGGAAGGACCCGTCACAGTTTTACCGCTGTCAGTAGCATTTTGTCGTTTTTGTTCGACATTGATAAGTTTTCGCTGAATTCCACCAAATAGGTGGTGCCTTTTTGGTTGCCTACTGCGACGAGGCGGCCGGCGTCGTGGGTGCGGATGCAACGGAGGGCTTCGTCGCAGACTTTGACGCCCAGACAAGCTTGCTTTTGCTGCTGGAGGATGTCCCAGACGTCGAGGATGCCGTCGCTGCGTGTGGTAAAAAATACAGACAGTCTGAAATTTCCAGAGTTGGTTTTAGGGACAAGAAATTAGTTTTTCTACCTCGTGGGACTCCAAGCACCGTCTGTGAGCAGAGCTTTGTGGAAGCTCGTCCACATGATGGAGCTCTCTTTACAGTCTTCGGACCAAATTCGCGCCGTCCAGTCTCCAACGGTGAGGAAATTTTTTAAGAAAGCCGGGTTTCTTTGGAGGGCCAAAACGGGTCCATAATGGGCCGAAAACTTCCCGACCATTTTCTCTTGTGGAGTTTTACCCTTTCGATTGCAAGAAATTACTTTTCCTTGTTCTGTTCCTACCATGAACCGCGTGGGGATGGTTGGTTCGTACTCCAGACACGACGCACCTAGAGCATTGGCCATTGTTTGTTCTTCTTTGGACAAATCTATGATGAGGGTTTCCGTTGGTTCTGACAATTTCCGGGTGTCCCACCACTTGACTTGACCATCTGTGGAAGACCCGAAGAACTCGGTACCGGACTTGGAGTTTATCCAGAGGACGTTGTGGACTGGATCTCGGTAACTGTTTTCGATGACGCTGAGTTCGACGGGTTCGTGCCCTTTTCGCATGTCCCAGACGGCTACTTGGCCGTTGAACATTCCGCTGACGAGGGAGTTCGGGTCCTTTTGGTTGTACTCTAAACACACGATTGGGTGTTCCGGGCGAAGGGTGTGTAGAGGCAAATTTGGGTTCTCTGGAAACAATTATCAAAATTTAATTAACAATTTTTGTTTATAATTACCGACTTCCCAGATATATGAGTAATTTGTTTGATTCGGCACCACCGCCTGAAAAGTTAGATTACAGTGCGAAACCGCCAATTTGGTTTGGTTGTCCGGCGACCAAGAAATATGCGTCACGGGTCTAGTCGGAGTGCTCTGATCCTGGTACACGTTCACCGTCCTTGCCGAGCTGCGCTCCACCAGAGGTGTCGGTTCCACGTCCGAGAAGTACTGCTGGTAGATGTTTATGGCGTTGTTTTGCAGAATACAGTTCTCCATGTTCTACGACAACCCCAATCACCCCCAAATCGTCCTCCACCCTTGTCTTACCCTACACAGCTGCATCACGGTGTGGTGAAACGCCTCGTCCTTCTCCACCTTTCGCCTGTACCTCTTGGTCTGCTCTTCGTCGGCCGTGTTGACGTCCTTCGGCCACCCTCCTTCTATGTGGTTCATAATGGCGTTGGAGTACTCCGCTCTCGTGGTATTGAGGTAGTGCTCGGCTTGCACGGGGGCGCATTGTGTGGCTCGGCCGATTGGGTCTCTGCAACGTGGGGGTTAGTGGAGGCGTGACGAAGGTGGTGACGGTTACTTGAGGATGTAATTGCGGATCAGCTTCGGGTTCGAGGGGTAGTTGTCGATGAGGTCGGGCCCTTTGTCCGAAAACATACATTGCTTACCGAATTCGCTTCTTTTTTTTTGGTATGCGAAGGTGATGGTGTCCATTATGGGGGGATGGGTTTGATGTATGATGGGAGTTGTGAGAGTTTGCCAGATTTGTCAATGTTGCTATGGTAATTTTGGGGTGTTGGGGGTTGTTTAAAGAATGATGAAAACCAAAATGGTAGATAGGCAGCCAACAATACACCAATTTAAATTGAAATATTCTACCACGTTTTTCGGTTCATTGTGTTTAGTTTTGATTTCGGGTTTGGTGTCAGCAACATCGGACTCCAATTTGGCTTAAAAGTAGCACGGAATTTTTAATATATTGTTAATAAATATTAGTGAAAATGTTTGTGTTGTGAACACGAAGCAAAGTGGATATTTTTCCAAAAATGTCCATTTTTTTTAAATTTATTGTTAATAATATAACAGAATTAACAATCAAGACAATTATATCACGCTTCGCACCAGTGTACTCCCACCCATCGTGGTCTGTTTCTCGATAACACCGTATCTTCGCATTTTACGTCATTACGCAATTCAAATCTGACGTAACCGCCCCGCCATCGCTGCGCGCATGCGCACTCCCCATCGCGTCGTCTGCGCACGTTTTCCGCTTCCGCAAACCCGACCGCCCGCCATTACTTTCTCATCAATGGATTCGTAAAGTGTATTTGTTTTCTCCTCAGCTCCACACATTGGCAAGATGTCGGTCTAGCACCAAAAGTTCTTGCACACGCAAGTGTGCCGCCACATCATATCAAAATGCAGTGAGTATTGCATTTTTAGTCAAGTTTTGGTGTGTGTGGTTGTGTAAAGTGCCGATGCCCCGTCAAGGCGATGATTTCACCATATTGTCGGTGTCGTCATTGATTTGGTCGCGCCGATTTCGCGAAATCGCCCGGTTTGGCGCTCATTAACTAATTGCTTGAATTGGATAAGTGATTGGCATTGACATATGGTGATTGTGGTTATTAAAGTTGGCATCTTGATTGGTGGTGACATATATTCACGGCCATCTGTGCTACTTAGTGGTGGACACGCCCCCTCACATGTTATTAAATTGTCAATTGTCAATTTTTTTGGTTGTAGCGGCCCGGTTTACACACGGTTAGTTATGTCTGGGTAAAAGTTGTCAGTTTCGCAAATGCTACTGGTTTATTAGGGATTCGTGACTAGTCGAAGCGTTTCTCTTTATCTACCGCGGTTGGAATAATCGATGGATTTAGAACGCTATTTATTATACAAACGGTGTAGCGGCGGCAATTGTTTTGATGTTTTATTATGGCGAGATAATGAGTCTGATACACACTGTAGAAGTTATGCCGGGGGCTATCAAGTCCAGGAAGTCGAATAGTGAGAAGTACCGTTGGGTGAAAGGTCGCAAAAAATTGCTCATTTTTGGTTGCTAATAAGTAATAAGTAATACTAATAACGGATTGGAAGTTTTCACATTGGTTGTTTGGAAACGAGGCTAATTACAGGGCTCGAACTTAGTAATTATTGATGCAATCCAGTAATACAAACACACCTTGTAATTTGCTGTTAAAATAAAAATCTATAAACGTGGAGAAATGAGGCTATTCACGATTTTTCTGGATAAGAGTGGACTATTTTTTTTTATTTTTTTCAATTTGGCAATAAAAAGTTTTATATAAATAATAAATATTTTTTGTAAAGTGTGGCCCGATGTTACGTGGCGGCAAGTTGCCAAGTGGAAGAAAAAAAAAACAAAGGTGTGATCGAAAATAACATGAATTAGAGTTGGCGGTGCCTGTTCAGTTTTAGGTGGTACTACTGTCAGTCATGGCCAAAAAACCACGAATTTTGAAAATTACAATTCTTAATACTACATATAAAGTAAAATATATAAAAATGTTAGAAGTTTAAAAAAAAATCTTTTTGTTTATTTTAGATAGCACGTTTCCAGTCTGAATAAGTTTTGTTGCCAAACAGCGTAAAACGTGTTCGTGTTGTTTGTTTGTTATTACGTACGTAAATAGCCCACTTGGCAAAGATTCAAATCTGTAGAATAAAATTTAAATTATTCAATGGTTAAAATTGGCGGGATGTCACATTCGTTTGCATTCAGGCATGCATTTTATTTAGAAAAAAAATGTTGATACTTTCTTCGTTTGACAAGCATAACAAATACAATCCAGACATCACGTGACTAGGTTCAAAAATTTCTAAGCAATTGGGTGAATGTTGGTCAAGTAAATGAGTTCACGCTTATTAACTTTTTGTTTCATTTTATGAACCGCCTGTCACGGTGTTATTCAATATGTTTTTGTAGATTTTTATTTGTGGTGACGTTATTAAATTTCTGGGAAAGATGAATAAGTAAATATTAGTTAAATGTTTTGTAATCCCTAAATCTGTGTTAGTACCTCACACAATTTCGCAGAAGTTTCTTGTGAAATTTCTGGAGTTTGATTGTTTTAATATATTTTAACTACCTTAAAACTGCACTGGTAACAATGCAAATTTTCATTTAGAGGTCAATGGAAAGTTCATTAAGGTGTAGCAAAAAATCTATGCAATTAACTTTTCGTTTTTACTTCCCGAGCGTAAGCAAAGGAAGTATTGTAATCGAGTCCGTCGGCCGACTCTCTACTTTTACGTTTTCTCGATCTTTCATGACCCCTAGAAGACGAAGAAATAGGTCTCCCATTTCCGTCTGTCTGTCCGTCCGTCTGTCCGTCTGTTGTCCCGAATTTTTATTAGACAGATAATCTCCGAAAGTACTCGACCGATTGTTGTGAAATTTTGTACTTATATTAAGAATATCATGTAGATGGTAAAACGCTAACCAAAATTTGTCTAATCATCCCCACCACTTATGCGATGACGTCACTTCAAAATTGTACATAGTAAATGGGTTTTCAATTGTATAAAATAACATAGTCCTACACGTGTAGTTTACAACTCTGAATCGACTTTTCACCCGAAACGTCCAGATTTTTGGAAAAAAAATCAAAATTATAAAACAACATTTTGAAATTTAATTTTTAATCTGCTAACCAGAATGCTTTGAAATGTTGCAGATGTTTTAAGGCTATAAAGAGCATCATAAATCTTTAGTCAAAAAATATTTGCTTATCCCCTCCAAAAACTTGATGACGTCAGCTCAAAAGTTTGTGGAATAAATCATATCTAAAATGTACAAAATATGATGAGTCTGTACTTGTGATCTATCACTCCATTCATATTTTTTGGATTTGCATATACAGGGTGACTCAAAAAAATTAATGAATGCGTAAATATATTTTATTGATTTAATCAGGAACTACAAAACCGAATGCTCTGAAATCTTGCAGATGTTTTAAGGTCATAAAGAGCATAATAAATGTTTAGTCAAAATATATTTGCTTATCCCCTCCAAAAACTTGATGACGTCAGCTCGAAAGTTTGCCGAATAAATCATATCTAAAATGTACAAAATATGCTGAGCCTGTACTTGTCATTTATCACTCCATTCATATTTTTTGGATTTGCATATACAGAGTGACTCAAAAAAATTAATGAATGCGTAAATTATTTTATTGATTTAATCAGGAACTACAAAACGGAATGCTCTGACATCTTGCAGATGTTTTAAGGTTACAAAGAGCATAATAAATGTTTAGTCAAAATATATTTGCTTATCCCCTCCAAAAACTTGATGACGTCAGCTCGAAAATTTGCCGAATAAATCATATCTAAAATGTACAAAATATGATCAGTCTGTACTTGTGATCTATCACTCCATTCATATTTTTTGGATTTGCATATACAGGGTGATTCAAGAAAATAAATGAAAGCGTAAATTTATTTTACTGATTTACTCAGGAACTACAAAACCGAATGCTTCGAAATCTTGAAGATATTTTAAAATTATCATAAGCATGGTAAATTTTTGATCAAAACGTATTTGGTCGTCCCCCCTAAAAAATTTATGATGTCACCACAAAATTTTGCTGAAAAAATCCAATCTAAAATGTGCAAAATATGGTGAGTCTCTTCTTGTGATTTATCATTCCATTCAAATTTTTTCGATTTGCATATACAGGGTGACTCAAAAAAATTAATGAATGCGTAAATTTATTTTATTGATTTAATCAGGAACTACAAAACCGAATGCTTTGAAATCTTGCAGATGTTTTAAGGTTATAAAGAGCATAATAAATTTTTAGTCAAAATATATTTGGTTATCTTCTACAAAAAACTGATGACGTCAGCTCAAAAGTTTGCCGAATAAATCGTATCTAAAATGTACAAAATATGATGAGTCTGTACTTGTGATTTATCATTCCAATCATATTTTTGGATTTGCATATGCAGGGTGACTCAAAAAAATTAATGAAGGTGTGAATTTATTTTATCGATTTAATCAGGAATTAGAAAACCGAATGCTTTGAAATCTTGGGAATATTTTAAAGTTATTATAAGCATGGTAAACCTTTGTTCAAAATGTATTTGTTCATCCCTCCTAAAAAAATTGATGACGTCACCCTTAAATTTTGCTGAATAAATCCTATCTAAAATGCAAAAAATATGATGAGTTTGTACTTGGGATTTATCATTCCATTCATATTTTTTAGATTTTCTTAAGAGGTGGTTCAAAAAAATTAATGAAGTCAATTTATTTTATTGATTAAATTAAAGGCAACACTTATTATTAGTATTACACCCCAACCAACCCAATTTGGTAGACACAAAATTTGTTAAAGGAAAAACTCGGTTGAAACATAAGGGTAGCACGCTTATTTACATCGACTTTAACATTACAGACCTGCATTTGTTTTATGCGCTCACTTGGTTCCGCGAATGTGAAATAGACATGTTTATAATCAACCAATTGTGAATTTCACCGTCAAGAATTAAAATAAAACCCAATGTTTTATATAATAAGCGGAAGTCGAAGCAATAAAACCGATGGTCGTTTTGTTTACAGTTTCTCTGTTTGACTCTCACGTATGCTGTTACGCCTGTCATCTTAAATTAAGAATGTTTATACATACACGATTTTCAGTTGCCTCTGATACGTAGGTATACGTGAGTAAATTGTTTCGTTATTTTATTGATTATTACAAATCAATATTCAAAACGACCCAATTCATTTTCCCGAAAATTTGAGAATATAATAATTTTATTCTTAGTATTACACTACATCTATCCCAACTGATATACGTGTCCTTGCAAAAATGTTGATGACGTCATCGCAATTTTTTTTTAAATTCCCACTACAAAAATGTAATGAGAAAAAAAACACAATAGGCATGCAGTCGTCAAGTTTCCGACAGCGAGGGAAGTACTGTCTAAACTCTTTAGACCAATTTTTTTTCGTTACCCAGTTTAGGAACTGTGTTATCTATGAATGACGTAATTAATTTTTGATTGAATTGTTTATGGTTTACCATGTTACTACTTTGTAATTTTTAAGAAGTACATACATAAGTACTGTTTTTAGAAGTGGATGTCTCACAAAATTAGTGCATGAAGCTTATCTCAAAAGTGTCGTAATGCCATGATTAACTTGTGTATATCAGATTTAATATTTATTCTCGCCAAAAATTTGATAATGTCAACTCAAAATATTTAGTAGATAAATCTTTATTAATGATGAACACTGTTGTTATGGGATTTTTGTTCAAAACAAAGCCTACGAAACATTACATTGTCTCTTATAAAAATAATTTTTTCGTATCACTTGTGTTTGAGCGTCATAGAACTAAGTGGCTGATTGTTGAACTTTGATCTATTGCTTAATTACCAGTGTGAACGACTTGAATTTTTTTCACTTATAGTACAACTTCAAAAAATTGAACGCATTATTTACTACAATCAGATCTAAATAATACTAATCACCTTTGGAAACAATAAACTCGCTTGACTGTTTATAAATATTTCTTACATCATTTCATGACTGTGTACAAAAATATACGTAGTGATAAAACTTAAGTACATTTCAGGTGAACATTTGTGACTTTATCTCAGTCAGAGTGTTTTTCTTTTTTACAATCACTCAAGCCACTCCCTGGCCCGTGCTCGCCAATTAATTAACGTTATCTAATATGAATATTTTTATTGTCTGCAGATAACCACTTCCTGTCTGCAATGACTTAAGTATCTTGTCCAAACTTTCTCAAACAAAATTTTTTTCGTTTCCAGAGCCACCATGGCGCTTTCCCCGCTCGCCGGATCCATATCGGCACAAGAAGCTTACTTAAACAACCTTTCCCCACCAACCCTAAGCAGCGCACCACACAACCACCATGAGTTGTGCGCCGTTTATATCATGGAAGGAGGAGCCGCTGTCACCTCTCAACACTGACGAGGTGGCATGGCTCTCCGAAGACACGTTCTATCAAACATCCCCCGAACACGATGACTGCATTAAATTTGAAGATGATTTAGTCCCTTGCGAGACCAAGGCAGAGGTCGCTTCTCTCATGCTGGAAAACTTGGAGAGTTTGATCAACCTAGATGAACTCATCAAGGAAGGTTAGTATGGAAAAGTTCGTGAGGGAAAGAGAGTTATCTCGAGTGGAATTAAAGTCAGAGTCATTCTGCGCGCTAGATTTCAAGAGGTGCGGAAGTGGGGATTTACCTTATCTGACAAGGGGAAATTGCTTTCTGTTTATTACTGTAAATTGTTTATTATGGTATTTTAATTGATTCGAAAAATTGCAAAAACGGTAATTGCGGTTGCACCTTGGTATTAAGTTTTAATGTCAGAGTAGCATTAAAGTTGATCAATTGAAGATTAATGCTCTGCGTCGATTGTTATGCAACCAACAATACACTCTCTCGTATGTAGAGTCAACCTTTTGCAGCAACAAATAAATATAAATCTATTTATACTGGCTTAAATGGAAGCTTAGCTTGAAGAAGTGAGATATCTCAGCACATTTCTTTATCTTTGTTGTAATATTTTACGTGAGCAGAGAAATTTCAACTATTGCGTCTATTAGAGCGTAAAGTTCTGCTTCGTATTTTTTTCTTTTGCATCCACAAGAAATACACAAATGGAAAGGAGTTATTAACACCTGTGTTTGATTTTGATTGGTCGTTTTTTTCCACCCGTCCGCATGAAACTCGTATGATTAAATATTTTGATGCTTACAAATTCACAAATAAACAATAAAGTCAGATGCTTTGATTGACTTATTGACGGAATAAAGTATTGAGTAATAACTAGGCTCTTGCAGCAATAATATTTTGCGTGTTTAAGACGCTATTTTGTGTTTTATTGATATCCAGAAACCTTGAAATCCGCTTCCTGAGCAGAAACATTCAAAATCCACCCAGCATCATGTGGTGTGAAAAAAATTTTTTCGTCTGTAGATTATCGCTCAAGGTCCTGATACGACTTGTTGCCACAACCACAAGGCTTTCTAGATAAATCCGTAACCTTGCTCGTTTGCAACCCTGCTACTGCAATCAGCGCACTTAATGACACATCAGTGAATTTTACGTTGATAACAGCCGGTTTTTGCGTTATTGGCAGATTTGTCGTTTATTGTCACTTCTGGGCAGTTTTTATCAGTAAGCGGATTCACGTAAAGCATTTCAATTAGTAATCGAAAACAAGACCTCGGCTACCGATAATTTGCGTTTATCGCTGCTAATTTAGTTGTTTATTACACTTTATCGTCGATTCCCTAGAAACGGCTGGACTTTCCGCGAGACATTCTGTGTTTGCAGATTATAAATAGGTGTAATCTGAAGGAGAAGCGATTAGCACGCGCTGTAAAAATGTAACGAATTTTTTAATCTTTTTCGGTGGGGAATATTGACGATTTTAATTTTTGTTGCTGGGTTCTGTTGTGTTAAGTAATGACGGACGGACTAATAAAAATCAATGTGAATTGTCCACTGAGTATTTAATAAATTCTTGATTATTAATAGGGCTATTATGAATATGTATGTGTTTATTTGCATGTAGAACCCATTTGTGTACATTAAAAAGATAATAGAAAACAATAATTTCGTATGATAATAACTAGAATTGCAATAATAATAACATGTTTCGAGTCGCAAAGTGTTAAAGCTATAAAAGTTGTTAAAAGAACGATAAACATTTACTTTTGTGGATGATTTATTGTTTTGGTGTCTTAAAATCCGAATAAAAATAAACCAACAACAAACTTGAGTTCTATTGTTTTTGATGATTTATTGGAGATAAAGTTTAAAGCACATTTAAACTAAAATTAAAACTTTGCGTAGCAAACGCTATTTAAATTTTATAAAATACATATTCCTGTACTTGTAGGTTATGGACCCGCCTTGATCGTTTACCCTAGGCATCAAAATTTCGCAAAAAAATCCAAATTTGTACATATTTATATGATTTCTCAGGGATCACTTTTTTTTCTTACACTGTGACTGGTATTATCTATATCTTACAGAGCTTATTATAAACTAAGTAAAACTTCGTAAAAGCAAATGTTTTGTGAGGTACTTCACGAGCGAGGGAAGTTCTGTCAAAATAAACTTGGACCAATTTGTCTCAAGATATATAGTCTCTGAAATACTACAATCCGCTTAAACAGTCGCAAAGATTTACAACTGTGGGTTTGCCTTATTTGCTTGCCATATAACCTTGTAGTATTTCGGAGACTATACATTTAAAATAAAAAAAAGTGTCACTGATATTTTACGATTATTAAGAAGAACAAGATAAGTCTAAGCATAAATAGTCACTTTATAATTATTATACGGTGCAATGAAAAATTTTAACAGGTGTGAACTGCTTTTAAAAAAGCCCTAAATGAACTTAATTGAAAAATCGAACAATAGGATAAGTGAAAGATTGGAATGTCGATAAAATGAGAAATCACAAAATTTTAAAAATTGAAAAATCGAAAAATCAAAGATTTTAAAAAACGAAAAATGGAAATCCGATAAATCGAAAGATCGTGGTATGGAAACATGAAAAAATTTTAAATTCAAAAAATCGGGGGAGTGAATAATCACAAAACTGATTCATGTTTTAGTTACAAAATAAGAAATCGAAAAAGTCGAAAATTAAAAAAAAAAGAAATTTCAAAAACCTGAAAAATTAAAGAATTGAAAAATTGAAAATCGAAAGTTCGAGAAGTCGAACAACGCCAAAAATTCAAAAATCGAAAAATTGAAAAACCCAAAATTTGATAATCGAAACAGCAAAAAATCGAAAATTCTAAAGTTTTGAATATCGGAAAATTGGGTCCAAATTTTGAAAAATTTAAAAACTGAAATGTCAAAAACTTGAATAGAAAAATCGGAAAAAATTGAATAATCGGAGAATTGAAAAATCCCAAAACTGATTCATGTTTTAGTTACAAAATAAGAAATCGAAAAAGTCGAAAATTAAAAAAAAAATGAAATTTCAAAAACCTGAAAAATTGAATTGAAAAACTGAAAATCGAAACGACGACAAATCGAACAACGCCAAAAATTCAAAAATCGAAACAGCAAAAAATCGAAAATTCTAAAATTTTAAATATCGGAAAATTGGCTCCAAATTTTGAAAAATTCAAAAACTGAAATGTTGAAAACTTGATGAATAGAAAAATCGGAAAAAATTGAATAACCGGGGATTGAAAAATCCCAAAACGGATTCATGTTTTAGTTGCAAAATAAGAAATCGAAAAAGTCGAAAATATAAAAAAACTTAAATTTCAAAAACCTGAAAAATTGAATGGAAAAACTGAAAATCGAAACGTCGACAAATCGAACAACGCCAAAAATTAAAAAATCGTAACATCAAAAAATCGAAAATTCTAAAGTTTTAAATATCGGAAAATTGGCTCCAAATTTTGAAAAATTCAAAAACTGAAATGTCGAAAACTTAATGAATAGAAAAATAGGAAAAAATTGAATAATCGGGGTTGAAAAATCCCAAAACTGAATCATGTTTTAGTTACAAAATAAGAAATCGAAAAAGTCGAACATTAAAAAAAAGAAATTCAAAAACTTGAAAAATTGAATTGAAAAACTGAAAATCGAAACAACGAGAAATCGAACAACGCCAAAAATTCAAAAATCGAAAATTCAAAATCTGAAATGTCGAAAACTTGATGAATAGAAAAATTGTAAAAAATTGAATAATCGGGGGATTGAAAAATCCTAAAACGGATTCATGTTTTAGTTGCAAAATAAGAAATCGAAAAAATCGAAAATTTAAAAAAATTGAGATTTCAAAAACCTGAAAAATTGAATTGAAAAACTGAAGATCGAACCGTCGACAAAAATCGAAACAGCAAAAAATCGAAAATTTTAAATATCGGAAAATTAGGACCAAATTTTGAAAACTTCAAAAACTGAAATGTCGAAAACTTGATGAATAGAAAAATCGAAAAATGAAAAATCAAAAAAAAAATCGAAAAGTCGAACATTGAAAAAAATTTATAAATCAAAAAACTGAAACTCGAAGAATTGAGAAATCGAATAATCCAAAATCGAGAAATAAGAAATCCCAAAACTGATACGAAAAACTGAGAAATCGAAAATTGAAAGACGAGAATTCCAGAAATTGAAAAATCGAAAGGTTGTTTTACAATTTTGATTTTTTTCCCGAAAATTTGTATTCATAAACCACAAGTGTACGTTATTTTATAAAATTTAAATAACATCTACTATTGTAAAATTTGGAGTCATTTCACTGTTGGTTTTTCTAGAGAAACATTCTTCAACAATCATTGTGATCTAGTTCTAACTGTTCTAACCGATAATCAATCGTTTATCATCATTTTGATACTTATCCAGATGTATATCATCAGTACAATTTGATTGTTAGATTATCTAAAAATATAACAAGCAGTTTAACTTTTTAAAGACGTCCTCATACCACGAGCCAGAGTTTTCTGGTTATTTTTCGTTTTTTTGAGAGTTTTCTTAATAATTAGTGGATTTTGTTTTCGATAGCCAATTTTAAATTTGATTCTTGATAACGAATTGAATTTGGAGGACTTCCACAGTTGTAGTTGAAATTCCTGGAACTCCATTCTTGCAGGAATTTTCAGCTTCTTTTGATGACATCTTTTCTTTAGAAGATTTCTATGAACAATAACCTGAATAAAAGTAGTCAACGAACCAAGAAATAGGAATCTGTTTTTGAGGGGTCGAGCGGTCACTCGTCGAAGAAAACAATCTGGAATAAACATAAACATCCTCTCCATAAAATTTCGTACCCCGACGTTATCATTAAGGCCAGTCCGCTATCTAAAAAAAGCGCAACACTGATCTTTGCCCCCTCCTCTCTCTATAAATCCTCCATCGCGTCGATTTCCCTCAGTCGGGAAACCCGTGTCCGTTCTTCGGACTCCGTTTCCACCGTTTTCCGCATCTCGAACAAAAATCGCCTCGTTATCACATCGTCGGCGATCACATGGTGTCCACGTCTCCTGGTGGGGATACTTGAGGGACGACCAGTCACCACTTCGCCAGTCAAATCCGCTCCATTCCGTCGAGTAGACGTCGTTTTCGCCGAACCGCAGCATTCCGAATTCCAACCCAAC